AACACGCGAGCTTTAGGGCCGGCGGGGAGCTACTTCCAAAGACAGCCCCCCACCCCCCTCGTGGTGGCCAGGAGGGGCGGGCTGGGGCTGAGCCGAGACCGCTGCCGAGTTCCTGGAAGTGGGCCTTCTCCCGTCCGGGTGATAGCCGGACGGGTGCTCTGGGCGCTGCGCGGGGGCCTGGCTATGCCCCGCTGGGGGCATGTTTGTGGGTCTGGGTGGAGAATGGGCAGGGGATTCCCCACCCAGATCTGTCCTGGGCCCGAATGGTCCTGACCGGCGTTCCTTAGTGTGCAGCTTGGGTTGTGTGTCTGCCTGGGTGGGCGGGGCCTGGGCTTGGAAGCCCTAACTCGGTTCAGGGAAAGCCCCCCCCCCCACTTCCTGTTGGAGCCGGGAGATTCAAGGATGAAACTGGCTTTTCAGGTTTAGCCCATTTAGAAGCCTGGGCTGTCCCTGGCCCGGATCTCCCAACCCCCATGGAGCCAGCCCCAGCCCCCTGCCCCTACCGGGAGGTGGGAGAAGACTAGGTTTCCAAGCTGAGCCCCTTGCCATCAGGGTAATTCTGAGCATGGGGCAAGGGCAAGGGAATCTGTGGTCCTAGATTGAAGGCACTGGCCCTTGGGCTCCAGGCTGGCCATACACACTCCCATTGCACTGGCCCACTGAGGCCAGCATCAGGGAACCAGCCAGTCCTCACCCTAGGGAGCTGACCTTTTCCAGGACCTCTTAGCCACCAGGATCCGTACGTCTTCCTACCCTCTGTGGACCACCAGGGATCTCCCTCAGCATCCTTCTGACTCCAGCTGCTGCTCAGGCACTTCCAGTGTGTGGGGGGCCTCAGCCCATCCCTGTTCTCCCCAGTGTCTGACAGGATAGACTTTCTGCCCTAGGATCCCATTTCTTGGTTCCTGGATTGGCTGTGTTTAGTGGTGGCTCTCTCCTCCCTCCACCCAGGTGCCTCTGGGTGGTAGGAGGTTGCATACAGGGCCCGATAGCCCTCAAAATCTCAGGGCTGAAAACCACAGCTGTCTGTAGCTGGGCAAGCAGATAGGGACCCCCACCCTAGCTCCTGGGTAGACCTGGCCAAGGTGCTGGACTCTCTTTGGGTGCTCTGTGACCTTAGGCAGTGACTGGCTCTTCTGAGGCTCAGTTTTCTTTTCTGTAAAATGGACTTGCTGTGACAGGTTGGTGGGGTCAGCTAAGATCATGCTTGAGGCAGGTGTGCCAGGCTCCTGTTTCCTCCAGGAGCACTCCAGGCTTAGCCTGCATCCAGTGGGTCCAGCAGGGGTTTGCTGACCTGAGGGTTCCTGGGCATGAGGGAACACATGTGTAGGGTCAGTTAGGGGCACTTCTGGGAAACTCTGACTGGTGACCGGCTGCTCATCTGCCTTCCAGCCAGGCGTGTTGGACCCCTTCCCCAACAGCCAGGAGTGTGTGCTATGCTTTCACTTAACTCCTGGGATCTGGCCAAATCCCATATTGGGGACTAGATATGTCCAGTTTAGGGGGCGGTTCATACTTGGAATCTGGTACAACCAAGTCCTTGTCCCCACTTTCTGACTGGTTGGTGTGGACGGGTACCCTAACCTCCAGGTGTGTCTGTCCTGTCAGCTCCAGTGGATCAGGACTGTGACCCCTGGGCCACATATGCTGGGTTAGCCTTGGTGCAGTGCCCTTCCCTGGGTGTCCTCTTCTTCTCCTATGTGCCACCAGGCTGCCCCTACAGATGGCTTATAGAAGGAAGCCCCTTGTTCTGTTACTGTCTGTCTGGCTGCTTGTCTGGGGTGATGGTGGCTGATAGGTGATGTGGGTAGGCAGGGAGCTCGTGTGTCTTCCTAGGGACAGGAAAAGGGTATGGTGGAAGCTGCTGGCTCCATCTCAGGCCTGCCCTGCTCCAAATGGAAACTTGTTTCTTCCACAGAAAAGGGAGGGATCACTGGAAGGATTGAAGAGCACTTTGTGGTTTGCAAAGAGCCTAGCAAGTGTTCTCCACATGGTGCCATTTACAGAGGAGGCAGAGAGGCCAGGTGACTTTCCCTTTGCTACACAGTGACAGTGGAGGAGGAGTGGGATCTAGGCTGCAGATAGCTGGAGACCCTTCTCTCAAAGGGGGATCAGGGGCCTCAGTTTAGGGGTCAGAGAGAGGTTGAGGGGGATCTTGGAGGAGCCAACTTCTTTTGGGTCCAGGCTTGGGTGAGCTAAGGACATGACTGGTTGGGTGTCTTAGGTGGGGCCTATTGTTGTAGCTGATCTTGGTAGTGGGCCATCTCTTGGGCTGGCTGTGCTTTCTGCTTCCTGTTGCCCTGTGAGTGTCCAGGGCAGGCCTGAGTGCACAGAAGGCTGCAGCTTACACCTTAGGCTAGAGCTTCATGCTGGCTCTGGCAAACCTGCCCCAGTGTCCTTGTGCCTCTCAGCCATACCTTGCTAAATGCAGCACCTCTGAAGGGTCTGGTCCTCCAGTGGCTTCCTCCATTGCACATGCTCTGGGCCTCTCAAACTGCCAGCTGCCTGGCTGTCCTGTTCCACCTCAGAGCCCTCGGCACCAGCCTTTCTGCTGCTGATCTAGCTGCTGTTTATTGAGCACCTACTGTGTGCTGGGTACTGCCATGGCCATATTCTCAAATGGCAAAATGGATTTGTTCAAGGATATTGGTGATGGAGACAGATGCATGGGTCAGCAGCTTGGCTCCGGCCCTTCTACTTCCTTCCTGCCTCCTGTCTCTTCTTTTTTTGGTATCAGAGATTAAATCCAGGGGCACTTAACCACTGAGCCACATCCCCAGCCCTTTTTATATTTTATTTTGAGATAGGATCTCTTTAAGTTGCTTAGGACCTCGTTGAGTTGCTGAAGCTGGCTTTGAACTCTCAATCTTCTGCCTCAGCCTCCCAAGTTGCTGGGATTATAGGCGTGTGCCCGTGTGCCACTGTACCTGGCTCCTGACTCTTGCACCTCAGTCAGCAGGACTCTGATGTCCCCTGCCTATCTCCTCTGCCCTGGCAGCTGCAGCCACACTTCATCCCTCCACACCAGTCTCTGTGGAACCTGACCTTCCTCGTCTCTCAGGCTCATCTCTAGTCTTAAGCTGCTTGGTGTGCCCAAGGGGCACCCACCCCACCCTTCCTGGCTCTCTTTCACCACTGGTGCTGCTCCCCGGCACTTTCCACTTCATCCCCCATGTGCATGTGTCCAGTTCCTGATGTTGCTGAATGATTCATGCTGTGACTTCTGGAAGTTATGCCCTTCTGGCTGGGGTTCCCCCCTGCACTGAGGGGCCAGCCGAGCAGAGTCCCCTGAGGCTGTCTGGGAACAAGAGCCCACTGTGTGCCTGGAGGAGGCCTGGATAGTGGATCACTGTGGGAGGGCAGTGTGTTGCTCCTTGGCCAGTTTGGTCTGGGCCTGTTTCTCCCCCAAGCCTTGTGAATCCCACACACTTGAGGCCGAGATGGGGTACCCGGCATTTGTGGGGCAGGGTGGGTGTCCTCTCCCTGCCTGCTGGACCATATGCATTCTCCTGCATCTTCCTGCCTCCCCTCAGCGCAAGAGGGGTTGTCCTGGATATTCAGATAGGGGCTGGAGCCTCCATTGTGAGCTGAGGTCTTTGGTGCTTCCTGGGGCCAAATGTGAGCCCATCTGGAGCAAGGGCTGGTGGGTCCAGTTGCCTGTGCGTGGTCCCAGTTCTTCTCCCCTCACAGCTTGTGCCCTTCTCACTCATAATTGCTCCCAACAGTCAGCTCCTCCTCCCAGGGCTGCTGAGGGTCGTCTCCTTCAGGAACCCCCTGCTCTTTGGGTCTCAGTGACTGGCCCCTTCATGCTAGCCTTGCTCTGCAGTTGTCAATGTGTATACCCTGTGGTTGCTCTAGAACAGTCAGTCCTGGGCAGTGACAGGACAGAGGACTGCTCTCATGTGCATGAGCTCTGGGAGAACCAGGCCAGGGGGCTCCTGTTGGGGGATGGCAGTCTGACTGAGGATGCAGGTCCTGGAATGTGTGCACGCCTGAGATGGGAGGCACTGAGCTCAATGACAGACTTTGCTGGGGACTGTGCCTGTGGATCATCTAGTGGCAAAGGGGGCCTGCACTACTGAGTAGGTGCCAGCTGGATGCCACCTGAGGTGCTGGGCAAACCTGGGCAGGTTCTTGGAGAGACCAGTCCCTGGTGCTCACCCATGGATTCCCAGCAGCAGCAGTAGCTCTGTTTGTACTCTTGGCCCTGCTCCTCTCTGGACCCTATAACAGTCTCACCAGCAGCATCAGTGTTCAAGTAAGAAGATTGAAGGCATGTTGCTTTGTGTGGCAGGGCTGGAGTGGTCCTTTGGGTGAACTAAGCAGGAATGCCAAAGGTGTCTCCGTCCTGTCTGGTGTCTGGCTCCTTACCTCCTAGGCCCCATGGGCATAGCACAGCCTTGGGAGCAGGCTGACAGACTGGGAGGGTGCTGAGGCCCCTCTGTAGGCTCAGGAGCCCCTCCCTGTGCTCTGCTTGCTTTCCCAGCACATCAGAAAGTGTCTCAGATTCTGCGAGTAGTGTACCCAAGACTCAGAGGTGGTCCCTAAGTCACTCCTTAGCCAGCAGGTGATCCTACTAGGCTGTCTATGAAAGATGGCTGTGGGATGAAGAGGAAGACATCCACCCCCGGGATGCTGACCTGGCACCAGTTGATGCCTGGCACCCAGATCTGGGCTGGACATGTGGTACAGGTCAGATGCTGAGGGCTGGTTTGCTTTAGCTCCTAGAAGGACCTTGCCACACCCATTTCTTGGTCAGAATGGCCTGTGTCACACATGGCCTCCATCCACCAACAGGGGCTCAGCATGGGCAGGCCCAGGGATGCAGAGACAAATGCTGCCTGGCTTGAGGTGCTTAGGTCAGACAGGGAGGGACCCCTGGGTAGATGGTAGGGGGGCCCCCCTACCTTTGCCCCCCCCCCCCCAGCCACCACCTGGGCCCAGCAGTGCATGATCAGCTTGGAGAAGGGGTTGGAATGTGAGGGATGGAGCCAGGAGGACTCCCTTCTGCTATCTGTTCTGTTCCTGGTCTGTGTAGGGCCAGCAGGAGCTGCAACTGGCACCCTAGGCCTTTTTTTTTTTTTACTGGGCAGTATAGGGCCCACCAGGGCCATATGCAGTGTCATGTGGTGGACATAGCCCTGTGGAAGCCCTGGATCTCCTGCAAACAGTTGAGAGGGAGACTCCCAAGTGGAATCCATTCCTGGAGGCAGCAGTGGGCGGTTCACACACCCAGCCACTTGCAGCTTGTTGAGGTTTGCACACTTTGAAGAGGCTAAGGAACTTGGGATTAATAAAGGAGGTATTAATAACGGAGGGCCTGCTTTCCAGACCCTCCTGGGTGCAGATCTGCAGCAATTGTCCTTTGTACAAATGATGTGGGTAATAGAGTCCCAAGGAGGCCAGGACTTGCCTATAGTTGAACCCTGGTCTCTATGCTCTGGGTCTTTCCCTATGTTGGTGGGTTAGGGGCCTCAGATACTCAGGGTTGTCAGGCATGCAGTCCCCCAACAAGTCCCTGCTCTGGCTGCCTCACTGTTGTTTTGGGGCACATGGCGCCACCTGGTGGTCATCATGGTTAATGCGTGAATATGGTTTGTACAAAACACCCAGTGCCCCAGCTGCTGCTCTGCCACCTGGGAAACCGTGACTTTCTCTGAATGTGGAGATGCCTCTGTGCAATGGATGGGATTCACTCTCTGTTCTGTGTGTAGTGTGCCTCTGACTCTGTAGTGGAAGCCATAGTTGTTAAAAGGCGGCAAGGGGTAGATAAGACAGGCTAGGGGCACACTGACCCCCTTTCAAGCCTTAGCTCCAGGTCACAGGGAACCTGGTTGTCCCTGCCATGCTCAGTCCTCATCCCCTTCAAGCTCTGAGCCACAGGGAACCTCACTGTCCCTTCCAAGCAGCTGTCATTGCTGTTTTCTGCCCATCACACATAGCATCCCTTTGACACTTACTTCTTTAGGGTGATAATTTCCAGAGTGTAAACTCTGAGAGGGAAGGTCTTGTCTTGTGTCCCCCCCAGCATGTGCCAAGCACCTCCAAGTGCCTCACTCATTGGAGGTGCTGGAAGTGCTGCCTATGGACCTGGTTGTCCGAGGACTGTGAGGGGAACCAGGAAGGTGTGGACATACCAGTGCTCAGCACTAGCTGGGCTCCAGCAGCGGAGCTGTGAGCACCACCATTTGGCATATCGCTGCTTCTGCCTTCTCCGGGTCTGGGCCCAGTGGATCTTCAGGGACTTGCCAGCCTCACTACTGAGTACCTTCCCCTCTCCAGGCCTGCCACACTCCACCTGGAACCATGAGTGAGGGCCGCAGGGACAGCACAAGCAGTCTGCAGCGCAAGAAGCCACCCTGGCTGAAGCTGGACATACCGGCTGTGATGCCGCCACCAGCAGAGGAGCCCAGCTTCCTGCAGGTAGGTGCTGAGTGTCCGGGGCTATGGTTATGCCCCATCCAGACTCCTCACTGACCCTGTTGCTCAGCCCCTGAGGTGCCAGACTTTCCTGCGGAGTGTGAGTATGCCAGCTGAGACGGCCCACGTCCCTTCGCCCCACCATGAGCCCCGGCGGCCTGTGCTCCAGCGCCAGACATCTATCACACAGACCATCCGCAGGTACTGCCCTGGCCACTCCCCAGAGGGAGGCACACAGGGTCCCCTTTGGGTACTGAGGCTGGGAAGGAGCAAGGGTCTGTCTTGTCTCAGCTTTCTCTTCTGCTGTGGTCCTCCTGTCCTGGGGACTGAACTGCTGTCACCCCACTACCCTTCTCTGCTTTCTCTGTCTCCGCACCCTAATGCTCTGGTCCCTCACAGCCGACAGGTGCGCTTTGGGCGAGTCCATACTCTGCCCCTCTCAGGTCCCCGGGCTGCCTGCAGGCCGCCCCCACAGCGCCAGTCCCTCTCTTGGTCCCTGCTCAGGTACTTCAGGCAGGTCATGGGTGTGTTGCTGTTTTCTGGTGTGTGCATGTTAAGTGTGGCTTCTTAAGAGCTGCCAGTGTTGGCATTTCCTGGCCCTTGAGGGCAGTGCCAGCTATGCGTTGTTTGCATGTTCGAGGGCTGTGGACAGCCTGCTGGGGTCTCCCGTGCTGCTGCCTGGGGCCAGCCTCCTTCTCTAGACTCAGGGGATGGAACCCACTTGTCCTCCTAATTCGACTATTTCCATCTAGCCCCCGGAGGGCCTGAAGGCTGGGGCAGAGCTTGCTGTCCAGGAGGATGGCCTCTGAGGCTCCTTGCCTAGGAGGGGGAGATGTAGCTGCCCCTTGCTGAGTCCCTTCCATGCTAGGGGGACAGCTGACTGGTTTGGAGTGAGCAAGGACAGTGACAGCACCCAGAAGTGGCAGCGCAAAAGCATCCGTCACTGCAGCCAGCGCTATGGGAAGCTGAAACCCCAGGTCATTCGGGAGCTGGATCTGCCTAGCCAGGACAATGTGTCGCTGACCAGCACGGAGACGCCACCCCCACTGTATGTGGGGCCATGCCAGCTGGGCATGCAGAAGGTACGCCTATGGCTATTGTCCCCTGTCCCCTCATTCTGATTCCCTGGTGGGGGCCGGGGCACAGTCTACCTGAGCTCATGGTTGGGAGAACAGTCAGGTGATCCCATGGAAGCAGGTAAGATGCTCTGGGAAGGGCCACCTGGGTGAGGTGAAGGGCCCTGGCATTATACCAGGGGCAGCCTCTGGATAGGCGAGCATACCAGGGGACCAGCAGTGCAAGGGGAGAGAAGGAGGCCCCACTAGGTGACACCCATACAGCTGCCCTGGGCCTGCAGGAGTGACAGCAGTAGCAGTGGCGCCCTCTCTGTGGGTCTTGCGTGGCTCTGGTGTGTTGAGAGCTCCTGGCACCAACCTAGCCTGACTCCACTGTGTCTTTGCCTCTGCCAGATCATAGACCCTCTGGCCCGCGGCCGGGCCTTCCGCATGGCAGATGACACTGCTGATGGCCTGAGCGCCCCGCACACTCCGGTCACACCAGGTGCTGCCTCCCTCTGCTCCTTCTCCAGCTCCCGCTCAGGTTTTAACCGGCTTCCTCGGCGGCGCAAGCGTGAATCTGTGGCCAAGATGAGCTTCAGGGCGGCTGCAGCACTGGTGAAGGTAGGCACAGGGCCATGGGTGGAGGTGGGATAGCTGAGTGGCCATTAGGTCCCAAGGTCACCTCCTTGCCCTCAGGGCCGCTCTGCTAAGGATGGCACCTTACGCCGGGCACACCGACGAAGCTTCACTCCTGCCAGTTTCCTGGAGGAGGACACAGCAGATTTCCCTGAGGAGTTAGATACATCCTTCTTTGCTCGGGTAAGAAAAGCGCGGGGCCTCACTCATGGCCTCTGTCTCTGTATCCAACCTGACCTTGAGTATTTGCTCAGGAAGGTGTCCTCCATGAGGAGCTGTCCACATACCCGGATGAGGTGTTTGAGTCCCCATCGGAGGCAGCACTCAAAGACTGGGAGAAAGCCCCAGAGCAGGCCGACCTCACGGGTGGGGCCCTGGACCGCAGTGAGCTTGAGCGCAGCCACTTGATGCTGTGAGTGCAGCTGGTGGGTGGGGTACATGGTGGGGGGGACCTCTGTCTATCAGGAGCAGCTGGACCCTAGGGCATGGTGCACCAGCATTCACTGCCTAGAGTGAGTTGCCTAGTGCAGTGGGAACCTAGCTTGGCAACTATGGTGGGGGTCCCAAGGCTAGACATGTCCCCAGTATTTTCTGCCCACTTGGGGAGTCCCAAGACCCGGTGGCTGGGTGATTCCAGCATGGAGGAGTGTGACCTATGGCTGAGGTACAGAACCTTTGCTGAATCTGGGGTCCCTTCCTGTCATACTGGGAGGGGCCTGAGGTTGCTCCTTTATTGGAAAGAAAGAGGCTAAAACTGGGACTTGACACCCACCCCCTTCATCAAAGCCAAGGCCTGTGCAGGGCAGGATAAAGACTAACTCTGGTTGCGTCAGGAGGGATGGCAGCGGGTGGTGGTCTAGCCCAGGAGGTGAGTGAGCTGGCTCCCTGCAGGCCCCTGGAGCGAGGCTGGCGGAAGCAGAAGGAAGGTGGCACAGCTCCGCAGCCCAAGGTACGGCTTCGACAGGAGGTGGTGAGCGCTGTGGGGCCCAGGAGGGGCCAGCGCATTGCAGTGCCAGTGCGCAAGCTCTTTGCCAGGGAGAAGCGGCCATATGGGCTGGGCATGGTGGGCCGGCTTACTAACCGCACCTACCGCAAGCGAATTGACAGCTATGTGAAGCGCCAGATCGAGGACATGGACGACCACAGGTAGGTCGGGGGATTGCAGCCCTGTGAGCAAGTCTTGGGGTTGGGATACAGATTCCTGGGCTCTGCCTTGGGGATGCGCCCGCTGATGCTCCGCCCTGCAGGCCCTTCTTCACCTACTGGCTTACCTTCGTGCACTCGCTGGTCACCATTCTAGCAGTGTGTATCTATGGCATCGCGCCCGTGGGCTTCTCGCAGCATGAAACAGTGGACTCGGTGAGCCCCTGGCACTCTCCCGGGATCCAGATGGTTGGGGGCTAGGGTCTGGACCCCCTGTGCTCCTCTCCAGGAAGAAAGAGCCCTATGGACTTGGTCTAATCCCACTTCCTGACTTTCCAGGTGCTGCGGAACCGTGGTGTCTACGAAAATGTCAAGTATGTGCAGCAAGAAAACTTCTGGATCGGTCCCAGCTCGGTGAGGACGTGGCTGGGGGCGAAGCCTGGAGTTCCTGAGGTGGGCAGGGGGCCTGGGGCTGCAACTGCACATCTCCCTTACTGTAGGAGGCCCTTATTCACCTGGGTGCCAAGTTCTCGCCCTGCATGCGCCAGGACCCACAGGTGCACAGCTTCATCAGTGCTGCTCGTGAGCGTGAGAAGCACTCGGCCTGTTGCGTGCGAAATGACCGATCTGGCTGTGTGCAGACCTCAGAGGAGGAGTGCTCGGTGCGTCCCGCACAGCTCCTTGTCTATGCTGTGTCCGCAGTTACCTTTAGACTCAGGCCCCACTGAGTTCCCTTTGACCCCCACTCTTGGCATGTAGCATTGCCCATACGAGGCCCTTCCTGCCACTTTGATGTCTGTTCACCTTGCACTCCTCCATCCCTGGTTCCTCAACCAGGAGGTTCATTTGACTTTTGACTCGACCTTGGTTTGGTTGTACTCTTTCAGCACCTGTCTAGTCTGTGTGCAGGTATCTTAAAGTTGACCTTAATGGCAGTGCTGTAATTTTCTCCACTAAGTGATATTGTTTTTTAAAAAAAAGGCATTCATGTTTTTTTTTTTTTTTCCGCATCTTTTGTGGCCGTACCATAGTTTATACCAGTCCCCTGATTAAGGATGCAGAGGCTGTTTTTGAAAAGCTAATAGGAGCAAGGTGCTATAGTGTATGCCTGTAACCCCAGCTAGGCAGAAAATGGATGCAGGAGCATGGCAAGTTCAGGGCTAGCTTGGGCCATTTAGTGAGACCCGTCTCAAAATAACAAGAAGGGCTGAGGATGTGGCTCAGTGGTAAAGCACCTCTGTATTCGATCCCCATTACCTCACAAACAAACAAATATATAAAAAGCAACTGGCAATTATGCTCTTAGTGCCAGAATCTCTCGATGACTAAATCAGGCATCTGAATGATTAGGGGTGGAGTGGTGGGGACTTTGCCTGAGACTCTGGCTTAGAGCCCTCACTGCTGACTAAACTTGGCAAGGAATGGGCTCTGACCAGGGCTGACCCTGTGTTCTTACAGTCCACCCTAGCAGTGTGGGTGAAGTGGCCTGTCCATCCCAGCGCCCCAGACCTTGCTGGCCACAAGAGGCAGTTTGGCTCTGTCTGCCACCAGGACCCCAGGTCAGTCTTCCTGGCTGCCCCCTCTTCTGCCCTTGCTTTTTCCAGAAGGGTGAAGGTGTCCCCTTATTGACTCAGATGGGAGGGTGCCAATGCCAGGGGCTCAAAGCAGGCTCTGACCACATACTGGGCTCATGCAGGGTGTGTGATGAGCCCTCCTCTGAGGACCCCCATGAGTGGCCAGAAGACATCACTAAGTGGCCGGTAAGCTGGGGTGGGGAATTGCTGGGAAGTCAGCTTGTCACACCTCACCCATCAGTGATGCCAGAGGCCCCTCTGGGTGGGACCATCCCATTTTCAGACACCATGCCCCTGGCCTTTGCCCACTCTGTCCATCACCTAAGGCTGCCTCTCTGAGCATCTAGTCAGAGCAACAGGGCTGGATAGACTTGGAAGGCCTGATGACATTCCAGTTTGACAGATGGTCCTGCTGAGGCTCAGATGTGAGGATCTGTTTGAAGTCAAGGGAGTCCCGTCTTCTACCTTGTGAGGTGTAGGGCAAGAGTTGGTGTGGGAGCTGACTTGGCTCTCCCCTGTTTATGACCCAGATCTGCACTAAAAACAGTGCCGGGAACCACACCAACCACCCTCACATGGACTGTGTCATAACAGGCCGACCCTGCTGCGTCGGCACCAAGGGCAGGTGAGCATGCAGTTGCCACAAGTTTGGGCCCAGGGCTGTGCCTTCTCCCCCGCCAAGTTCCAAAACTCAAGGCTCCAACAAGGAGAAAGGGCCAATGAGAGGGTGGTGGTGCCTCTGTCCCTGGACCCTAGCAGTCTCCCTCCAAATCTGGGCCCTGACCTTCCAGGTGCGAGATCACCTCCCGGGAGTATTGTGAATTCATGAGGGGTTATTTCCACGAAGAGGCCACACTCTGCTCTCAGGTAGGCCTCAGGGCATGTCCCTCCCCTACTCCCTAGCCACTGTGAGTGCTGACTGGCCACTCTGCACAGGTGCACTGCATGGACGATGTGTGTGGCCTCCTGCCTTTCCTCAACCCTGAGGTGCCTGACCAGTTCTACCGCCTGTGGCTGTCCCTGTTCCTGCACGCTGGGCAAGTGAATCTGTGGGCTGGGTGGGAAGTCTCAGGGATTTCAGAATGGCTGGCTGAAGGTGGCAAGAAGCCACCTTCTCTGAGTGTTCCCTACTACCCACAGGATCTTGCACTGCCTAGTGTCCATCTGCTTCCAGATGACTGTGCTGCGAGACCTGGAGAAGCTGGCTGGCTGGCACCGCATAGCCATCATCTACCTGCTGAGTGGCGTCACTGGCAACCTGGCCAGTGCCATCTTCCTGCCATATAGGGCAGAGGTAAAGCTGCCTTCCAGGGTAGGGACCCTCCCTGTGTGCCTGTGGGTTTGCCCTGTGTTGAGCACTGGATGTGTCCTGCCTTTGGGAGTGGGGCAGGAAGATGAGGCCGAGCTGCTTATTCCTGCAGCTTACAGCCACCCCACTACCCACAGGTAGGCCCTGCTGGCTCTCAGTTTGGCATCCTGGCCTGCCTCTTTGTGGAGCTCTTCCAGAGCTGGCAGATCCTGGCACGGCCCTGGCGTGCCTTCTTCAAGCTGCTGGCTGTGGTGCTCTTCCTCTTTGCCTTTGGGCTGCTGCCCTGGATCGACAATTTCGCCCACATCTCAGGCTTCATCAGCGGCCTCTTCCTCTCCTTTGCCTTCCTGCCCTACATAAGCTTCGGCAAGTTTGACCTGTACCGCAAGCGCTGCCAGATCATCATCTTCCAGGTGGTCTTCCTAGGCCTGCTGGCCGGCCTGGTGGTCCTCTTCTACTTCTATCCTGTCCGCTGTGAGTGGTGCGAGTTCCTCACCTGTATCCCCTTCACTGACAAGTTCTGTGAGAAGTACGAACTGGATGCTCAGCTCCACTGAGCCAGTTGTGGGTGCTGATGGCCACAACCACCCTGAGACTCGGGGGCCTGTGGACTCTGCCTGCTCTTCAGGGACTTGCCTTCCCTGACAGACCTCCTGTGCCTTGCTCACTCCTGTTGACTTTATCTTGTTGGGCATTTATCACACTCTCCCACGATAACCTTCTAACTAGACCCTTGACGACCACCTCATGTGGCCAATAAATGGACCGGGAGCGTTTTAGCTGCCACTAAGTTGACCAGGGCTGTGTCCTTCTTCTTGGCTTCTGGCTAAGTGCTGTGGAGTAAGACCCTGCAGGTACCTGGCCTCTGACAGCACAGTTCTGCCACACAGGGAACTAAGTTTTGAGTACACCCATAGGCTGTTCCAGTTCCCAGGGAAGCCTCTCAGCCAGGAGGGTGCACTTCCTTGGAGGACCCTAGGGATGTGCTGCCACATTTCCCCACAATGGGATGGGGAAGGCATTGCTGTAGGGGACCCTGTGGGTAGAGGCCCCATCCACATCTGTGCCAGACTGCTACTGCAGGCTCTGGGATGTGGGCTCTTGCTTCCCCACAAGCAAACAAAGCTATGAAGACCATGGTTACAGGCATGTGATGTGGCCACAGGGCTTAGGTGTGGCATCTTGGATGCCAGGAGTTACAGTTACTCTCTGCCCTAAACACCCCTCTGTGATGGGACAGATCTTTCTATTATGCCTTTTTGACTATTCAAAAAATGAGGCAAACAGACAGATTTATTCTGCACATAAGGCCAGGCCCACAGCCCTGTGAGAACTGCCATGTTTTAAGGTCTTTGAGCCCAGGCCAAGTTCATGGGAAAGCAAGGAACAAAGGTTTACCCTGTCCTGGTCCTGAGAACCCCAGGGCTCATGCTGACAGTGCAGCCAGCCCAAATCTTTTCTGATGAGAGGATGGAAGGAGGGCTCCATCCTGTTGGGAAAGGACTGACCATCAGTGAGCAGAGCTGTCCCTGTCCTAGGGTCACTTTTGCCTCAGCTTTTTGATGAAGGAAACCTCATCCCGATTCCGGATACCATAACTGAAAGACAAGGAAACAGACAGTGTCTGACCTATAGAAGGTTCACTTGTAATTCCCCCCACTCTGCCCCCCAGGCCTGTGAGGGACCAAGAAAGGAAGAGGATAAATGTGGTACTTAGCCCAAGAGGCTGTGTGGCCACCTTCCCGGACACTCCCATTGCACTGCAGGGGTGGAGCTGCCTGGAACTGCTCCTCTGCCAGCTACTCTCCTAATGGGGAGTGCCCCAAGGAAGCCAGGAACCCTGCTGATACAGCCCTCTGGCAGAACATAGGGTACTAGAGGGCACCAGGCAAGATGCCCCACAGCTGAAGATGTGGTCTGAACTTACTCTCGGAGCTTCTTCCTGTCCTCTGTTAGCTTCTCTCCTGCAGAGGTCAGATGGTATGTCCTCCACACATAAGACCTACAAGAGGGGACTCAGGTAAACCGTTTGCTGCCTTGAGCAGGATGAGGTGAGCTGCAGATATGACAGGCTCCAGCACTCAGCTCTAGGGCACCTAGGGCAGCTGCACTCCCTCTAGGCCTTTTTCCTGTGCAGTGCACATGTGAGGAGGTGACGTGTGAGCACTGGCCAAACACTTCACTAATGAAACTGGGGACAGTGCTAGACACATCTATAGGGCACTTGATCCATAGGAGCATGAGGGCTGACGGGACCTAGGTGAGGACTGGTAGGAGACACTGAAAAGTGAAGCATTCAACGAGGGAGACCACTTTCCAACACTGAGGTCCAGAAGTATCCACAAGTGAAGATATCTAGGTGGGGTGATATTGATGAGAGTCAAGAAGCAGATGAGGCAAGAGTCCGAGACACAGAATTGCTCCCTGTCTGAATGTGCTTGCAATAGCTTTGCAGCAAAGAGGTGGGAGTGTGCACATGTGCGGCTGAGAACTACTTTCTTTGTGGAGCCCATACCAGCCCCCAGAAGCCCAAGGAAGAAGCTGCTGTTCCACTTACCAGCTGATGTGCTGAATGCCCCCTTCACGCTCCTGCCTGAGCTGCACATGCCTCTGGATGGCCTTCTTCAGGTCCAGGACAGTAGCGTTCTGCACTACAACCACAGCTGTAGCCATGGACACAGTGTGAAAAGATCCATGAGGGACAGAGCCTCAGATGACAGGAGATCCCAGAACTGTCAGGCTCTACTCTGCAGATTGGGTTTGTGGCTGCCCTAATGCCCTTGGGCATGGCCCCCAAGGTTCTCACTGACCAGTCTTGCTAACATCTTGTCCACATGTATAGGCCTAATGGGAGGAGGACGGCACTTACGCATTACTTCCCCATCCATCTTGCACACTCGAACTGTCATTGCTTGGCCATATTCTAGTGCTATCTGGGAATTGACCTCTTCCAACGTAACCTAGAGGAGACCAAAAGTGAACATGGGAATCCTGGCTCTCTACCACCCCAAAAAACAACAAAGAAAAACAAGCTGATAGTGGCCAGAAAGTGGTGTCCCATTTTATGAAGGGTAAGAAGGGGCTCTTGCCTATATTTTAGGATTTACTTAGTTGTTCAGCACACCAACCTCATGTTTCACTCACATCTTTAGAGGAGTGAAGAAACAGGCAGGGAGAATGAATCCATATGGGGATGGGGCCTGGTAGGCAGAAGAATACTGGGCCCAATATTTCTCCCTCAGAAACCCTGAGCATTAAGTTCCAGGCTAGGGCCTCAGGACTAGGGTGAGACAGGTGTGCAAAACTTAGCAGGCACCAAAAAATGATAATGATAACAAGTGTTTTGACAGAATACTTAAGAAAGTACAAGCTGGGTTGGGGATGCTGCTGGGTGGCACAGTATGTGCCCTGCAGGCACATGGCCTGTGATTCAGTCTCCAGCACCGTGGGGTGTGGGGTGTGTGTGTGTATAGAGATAGAAGTTAATTTTAAAGATCCATGATGGGCAATTTTTTTTTTTTTAAATTAGGTAGACTACTGTCTGTGCTAAAGCATATTGACGCTTGAGGCAAATGGAAAAATCAACTAACACCGACCTAGTCTTCACGTTACTTTGTTTCCCACAGAGGTTCCTGCATGGACTTTGACTTTTTTTTTTTTTCCTGTGATACTGAACCCAGGGCCCTGTGCCTGCAAGGCAAGCACTCTACAAACTGAGCTATATCCCCCGCCCTCAACTTTGACTTTTTAAACATATTGTGTTAAAATACCTTTTACCTTGTGAGGAAGTGTTCTTTTGCCTCGGCCTGGCCAGGCAAAGCTCACTTACACCCAGAGGTGCTGTCCTGGGCCGCCCGCGGCCGCCCACCCGCGGCCGCCCGCGGCCGCCCACCCGCGCCCCGGGCGCTGTCCGCGCGCACCTGGATCGGGAGATCGCAGAGCAGCGGGTCTTGCACTACCATGGCAAGACCCTCCTGAAACACGTCCACGGCCTCGGAGTGCGGTAGCAGCTCCTCTTCGTCCTCATCGTCTTCCTGCTCCTCCGGCTGACGCGGGGCCTCGGCTTCCTCCAGGGTTGCCACAAGCGCGCTGGGCTCAGAGGGTCCCGTCAGTTACCTCTGGAGAGGCGGAGCGCGCATGCGCAAGCAAGGCAACTCAGCCATTGGTAAGCCGGAGGGGCGGGCAGCTGCGGTGACCAATGAGGGGTGCGAGGCCGTCTGCTGCGGGGCGGACCGGGAGCGCGCAGACACGTGACTAGTGTTGGGCTGAGGGGCGGGGCGGCTGCGGTGACCAATGGGAAATGCGAGGCCTCCTGCTTCCGGGAACGCGCAGTCGCGGAGCCCAGGTGGCGGAGTCGGAGCAATGCTGCTCTTCTGTCCGGGATGCGGAAACGGGTTGATTGTGGAGGAGGGCCAGCGCTGCCACCGCTTCGCCTGCAACACTTGCCCCTACGTGCACAACGTCACCCGCAAGGTGGGCCCTGGAGGCCGGCTCTCCCTTGGTCGCTCCCATAGCCCAGCCATTGCTTCCCGGTGGTATCGCCCTGGCCGGGCTGCGGCCTGGATCCTCGCGGGGACCTCCCTGCCACTTGCTCCGTGCGCGATGCTCACAGCCGTGTCCAGAACGGCCTGAGCAGGTCCCGGTGTTCCGGGAGCCCGCGCAGTCACCCCCCTCCCCGCTCTCACGGGCTGCCCGCTACCTGGCGTCCCTGAGGGAGAGGCCTGAGGCTCTTCCAGTTGCCTTGCTTTATTTTCCCCATGAGACTTATTAACCGTCAAATATATTTTGTAGCTTGCTCATGTGCTGTATTTGTTAATCCTGGGACACACTCTCAGCAGGGCAGGGGTTTTTCTTTGTTCCGTGTATGTTTTAATCCGAATGCCCGGAGTGGAGACTACTGCACAATTGAGCATTCCGCAAGTGAATGGTGTATACTGTCTTAAGACTTGTTATTTTCCCTTGATAATCCAGCTAAAAAGTAATTTTAGGGGGTAGGGCTCGTTGAGTTCAGAGTCTACTTATTTAAAACAAATGACTCACACTGGACGAAGGGGGGAGACCGGAAGCAAACTTCGGATCTACAGGCTTAAAAAGTATTTAGCGACGGGGTCAACTGGTGGAAACCTGGAGTGGCTCACTTCTGGGGCGGGCTTCAGCCTGGATTATATAGACTAAGTTTAGGGTGGGACAGGAGGGTAATTCCTGGGGTTCATTATATAGGAGTCCTGCTGATCCCTTAGGGTGGGACAGGAATGTGAATAGGGAATTTTCTGTGGCTTATTGGGATCAAATGAACATTATCCTGGGGTGTCAGTCACTTGTGATGTCCTTTTGTGTTCCTTGCACTGGCTGAGGCCTTGCACTGGCTGAGGCCTGGGATTTCAAATCACAAAAGCTTAGGGAAAATGTCCTTGGACTTATTTTTCTTATCCCTCAACTTAATCCTGACATTTCAGTAATGTGTAATACAATTCAAAGAAACAAAGTGTAGCTTGCTTTAAAAGCTGGCTGCCTGGGGGAGTGACTGGGTCACCCAGCTAAATGCTACTGGTTGACTTCCATTTAAGTTGTTGTCCCTACTTCCACATCCTCAGCTGCAGTCTTTGCAGAGGTCTCTGACAGCCCAGCCTGGAGGACAACCCAGCCATGGGAACTCCTGTTCCACTGGAGTGTATTGCTCTGTGCAGGCAAGAATTGTGTTTCATCTGGCATCCACAGAGTGCAGGGAAGGAAGTCGGAGGCACTTGAGGACTGCTGTGGTTTGATGGTCCTTGTTTATATTGTTCACTTACTGGGAGTGTGAAGGCTGTTTTTGTTTGTTTTCTAGGTAACAAACAGGAAGTATCCAAAGCTGAAAGAAGTAGATGATGTGCTTGGGGGAGCAGCTGCCTGGGAGAATGTTGACTCTACGGCAGGTGAGAGACCTTTTCCATTGCTGAGCTGTGGATAGATGTGAGGTTGCGGACTGTTCCACTCCATATTGAGTCTATGACGTCCATGTCTAAGAACGGGAAAGATAGGGCTGGGGTTGTAGCTCAGTGGCAGAGGGCTTGCCTAGCATGTGTGAGGCACTGGGTTGGATTCTCAGTACCATGTATCAATAAATAAAATAAATGTCCATTGACAATTGAAAAAAATAATAGGAAAGGTATCTTTCTTTATTAATTTGTTATTATTAAAATTTTGTCACCCCACCAAAAATATTGATACAATCCTTGACATGATACAAGCCTGGGTTGGATTCTTGGGGCAACCTCTTGTTATTGGTGAACCTCGTAGGCTTCTCCTGACCTCTCTGTGGCCAACTCATATTTGTAGGTTGTGAGCAAGAAGTGAGTTGTCCAGTGCTTGGGAAATAGGAGGCGCTCAGGGGATGGCTCTGATGGCAGCAGAAATGATGGCAATAAGAGTCTACAAAAAATTGTCTTCTTATTCTAATAGGGATTTTTAGGAAGGTGATGTCAGGGAGCATTCAAGTGCAGATTGGACAGAATTAGAAGTTTAAGACTTGATTCATGTTGGGTAGACATAGATGTGATTGGGGAAGCAGAGAGAAGGACCCTCAATAAAGCCTGTTTTGAGGGGTAACAGCTAACTCAAGGTCAGTACTGTCTTTTCACCCGTAGAACATACAAGTATGTTATGGTAAAAGTTAGCCTTGGGGGGCTGGGGTTGTGGCTCAGCGGTAGAGTGCTCGCCTTGCATGTGCGAGACCCTGGGTTCAATCCTCAGTACCACATAAAAATAAATAAATAAAATAATGGTATTTGTGTCTGACTACAACTAAAAAATAAATATTTAAAAAAAAAAAAAAGTTAGCATTGGCCAGTCGCGGTGGTGCACGCCTGTAATCCTAGCGGCTCAGGAGGCTGAAATAGGAGAATCATGAGTTGAAAGCCAGCCTTAGCAATGGTGAGGCAAGGCACTAAGCAACTAAGTGAGACCCTGTCTCTAAATAAAATACAAAATACGGTTGGGGATGTGGCTTAGTGGTCAAGTGCCCCTGAATTCAATTCCCAATAGCAAAAAAAAAAAAAAAAAAAAATGTTAGCATTGGTAGAATTTATCATTAAAAGGTGGATTATGGACCTGGACCTGATTTTAGAGAGTGTATAAGGGTGTTTTCCTGAGAGCAGGATCGTGTGGTTGGGGTGAGGCTCCGTGATAAGCACTTGGCTAGCATGTGTGTGGCCCTGGGTCCACATCCCAGCACTGGAAAACATAAACAAGAGAATAGGATCATTTTCTCCAAATTAAATCAATTCCAAGGTATCTGTGCCCCTGGGCATTTTGAAAAGGTGTGGGATGTAGTAAGATATGGCTAAGAACAGCTCCTGCCAAAATGTCCCCTGGACATAGCCATCAATGGGAAGATAAAGCATTTTCCACTGTCCTGGGGAAGCAATTCTTTTAACAAGGAGAATCTGTGTGGCATGAGCCCCAAAGTGCACAGCAGCCTTAAGCCACTATCTTAGTTCCTTGGTGTTGCTGTAGAAGAATACCACAGACTGGGTAATTTATAGAAAACAGAAATTTGTCTCTTACCATTCTGGAGGCTGGAAAGTCCAAGATCAAGGTGCTGGCAGGTACAGCGTCCTCTGGAGGTCTGGCAGTAAGAATGCAGGAAGCAGAGACCCAAGGCAGCCCTGGGCAGTGAACCCCTTACTATGGGCCTCATAGCTCTTAAATTCTGTTTTCCATGAAGTCCTAGGGCTTGGATATAATTCTGCCAAGTTCTTTGCTACTTTGTAACACAGATGCCCCCCACCCCAACCCACATGTACCCCTGTTCCAACAAGATGCTGCTCATTCCTTGTAAGATCCAGTCAGAATAGTCTATTTCAACTGTTGTTGGGACAGACTAGGCAAGACACTGAAGACAGCAGGAAATAGATTTATTTGGCTACAGCCAGGTTCAGAGGGCAAAGCTTTTGCAGTGATCAATCATCAATCCCCTGAACCCCAAATTCAGGCAGTTTCAGAACTTTATACCCAGTGTGTAAGGGAAGGGGCTCAGAAGTTCACAATCTGCAGAAGTTCACACAAAAGCAGCTTTTTCTTTCACTGTTCTAGCTAGGCAGGTTAACCCTTTAAGGACAGTGCCTGAGGAGGGGAGAGCTTCTCCCCTTTCTTCCCTCCCCCTGCCAGCTGTTACCAAGGAGGCCAATTAGTAACCTCTTCTCTTCTCTTTGAAATGTAAACATCTCTGTGAAGCACCATCCTGGTTAAAAGATCTGTCTTTTTTATCACACTTTGCATTTGCAAACACACTTCTACAAACTGTTGTGAATATTTTTACTATACTGGATAGGTCATAAAGGTTTGTGAAAAACTAGTAAAGGGGTGATTAGCAGCTGGAGTTCTGATCTTGTGGGGCCAGGTAAAATGGAGCAACAGGAAATAGTAAACTTAACTATATTGAACTCTTTTCTAGAGATTCTTTTGCTGATATTCCTAAGATCAGTTATGGGGAAGATTTCTGGAGAAGCTTAATTAACATTTTCTGTGGCGTAGGTGGTACCACTATACAACCAATATTCTTTTTTTTTTTTTTGGTACCAGGGATTGAACTCAGGGGCACTTGACCACTGAGTCACATCTCAAGCTTAGGGTCTAACTTAGTTGCTTAAGCACCTTCCTATTGCTGAGGCTGGCTTTGAACTTGCAGTCCTCCTGTCTCAGCCTCCCGAGCTGCTGGGATCAAAGGTGTGTGCCATTGCACCTGGCCCACAACCAGTATTCTGTTCACAACAAGTATGCAGTCTCCAGGAAGAAGCCCCCTCCCTACAGCTCTTGTTTTCTCCTGAACCCTTAATAGAAGGGTTAATAGAATCCCCTTAATGCTCCATTCAAGGCCCCACAGGCTTTTTCTAGCATTTACTTAAAAACTTCCAGCTTTAGCTGGGTGTGGTGGCTTGCACCTGTAGTGCCAGCTACTTGGTGCTTGGTTTTGTCTTCTTTTTTTTTTTTCCTTTGGTACTGGGGGTTGATCTCATGTCCCCAGCCCTTTTTTTTTTTTTTTTGTGACAAGATCTCATTGAGTTATTTTGGGCCTCTCACTCAGTTAACGAGGCTGGCTTTGAACTTGAGATCCTCCTACCTCAGCTTCCCCAGTTACTGAGATTACAGGCATGTGCCTCCAGACCAAGCCAGTTCCAGCTACTTGGGAGGCTGAGACAGGATGATCACTTGAGTCTAGGCGTTCAAAGCCAACCTGGGCAACATAGTGAGACCTGTGCTGTAAATGAATAAATAAATAAAATAAAAATAAAACTATTCTGTTTTAGTAAGCTTTTTTGCTGCTGCAACCAAAAGACTGATGACAGTTTTAGAGTGGGAAAAGTTTATTTGGAGGTCATCATTTCAGAGTTCTCAGTCCATAGGTGGTCAGCTATTGTTTTGGGCTCAAGGTGAGGCAGGGAATGATGGCAGAAGAATGTGGTGGAGGAAAGAGGTCAGGACAGGCCACCAGAAGCAGAGAGAGTGAGAGCAGAGCCAACAAAATATAAACCCTAAAGGCACACACCCAATGACCCACCTCCTGTCACACCCTACCTGTCTACAGTTACCACCTGGTTAATCCCTTCAGGGGATTAATGCACTGATTAGTTAAGACTCTAATAGCTGAATTATTTAACCTCTAAACTTTCTTACATGATCTCACACATGAGCTTTTGGGGGATACCTCAAGTCTAAACCATAACACATTCCATCGTCTATTCATTGCTCAGTCTCAGGTATGTTGTTACAGTAGCACAAAATAGTCATGGTGCAAGTTAAGTCTCCAACCAGTCTTCAGCCAGATTGAGAAGAAAAGTAGGATCCAGAGAGTGGGAAGGAGGTTTTTTTCTTGGTACTGGGGATTGAACCCAGGGGTCCTTTATCAATAAGCCACAATTCCAGCCCTTTTTATTTTTTACTTTGGGGACAGGGTCCCACTAAGTTGCTGAGGGTTTTGCTGAGTTACCAAGGCTGGCTTCAAACTTGCAATCCTCTGGCCTCAGCCTCTCAAGTCACTCGGGTTGCAGGTGTGTGCCTTTGGGAGGAGTGTTTTCAAGGTCTCTCTGACTCCTCACTCTTAGTACGTTGTGGAAATGATGTCTATAGACATATTATTGGAAGGGAGGCCCGATGAGCAGGGAGGCTTCACACCTTTAACGTAAATTTTTCCTCTTAAGAGGTATGTTCTTCACCAGCATCATTTTTGTATAACGGGGTTGCTTGATTCTTCTCCTTGCCAGAGCCATGTCCCAAATGCGAACATCCTCGAGCTTACTTCATGCAACTCCAGACCCGCTCTGCAGATGAGCCCATGACCACTTTCTACAAGTGCTGCAATGCTCAGTGCGGACACCGCTGGAGGGACTAGGCCCAGTTACACAGTGGACGCCCAGCGGGATACGAATCATGTGTTCTGAGGGTCTTCGCTGGTGTAATGGAAAGTTCGCCCCTTGGGATGGAAGACCAGGGTGTCAGGAAATGGAGCCCGCCTGCCAGTCAGGGAGTTGCTGTGTGTGGGGAGGAGACCCATAGAGAAGTGTGCTGGGTTTAAAGTCCTGCTCATTCGCCTTTTACACTAGGCAGATGACATTTTCTCACCACCAATGAATACTCCACTGTTTGCACAACTTAGTACTTTACATTTTCCTAAATATTTAACTGTAACCAAAACTTGTTTTGAATGTCTCATAAAAATGAAGTTTAATACTATTTTCTCAGTGTTTTAAATATTTTAAGAAACACCAAACCCCAAAGCACATTGATCTCTCCACATCAGCCCTCCTGCCTCAGTCTTCTTAGTTGCTACTGCTTCCTTTTTTTTTTTTTTTTTTTGTGGTGCTGGGATTGAACCCAGGGCCTTGTGCATGCGAGGCAAGCACTCTACCAACTGAGCTATGTCCCCAGCCCTACACTGGACTTCTTATTTCATTTTTTAAACTTTCCTTGAATAGCTTCCTGGGGTTGCAATAAATAAATAAATAAATGTGTTAGCACGCTTTTATAGTTTCTATGTTAATCTTTCTATTCAAAGAAAAAGGACACCTCAGACTAGCTGGAAACAAGGTCTAGTTGATAGATTGAGTCTTGCTCAGGGCCCTGTCTTTATTTTTATTTATTTATTTATTTATTTTATTAGTTACACATGACAGTACAATGATCTTGACAATTCATACATTTGAATCAAATGGGGTATAATTTCTCATTTTTCTGATTGTACAGGTTGCAGAATCACATTGGTCATACAGTCACCTATATACATACAGCAATAATAATGTCTATTTTATTCTGCTGCCCTTCCTATCCCCGCAGGGCCCTATCTTTAAATTATTTCTAAATCTTCACCCCTTACCAAATCTCTTTTTTTTATTATTTGTTTTAATTACACATGACAGTACAATGACCTTGACATATCATACATTTGAATCAGATGGGATATAACCAAATCTCTTAATAGCGAATTCTTATGAAATCATGAAACTCAAATTTCTGCCTTTGATACTTTTTTGAGACTGGTATCTTTTCCAGAAATGATGTCATCTTTACATGGAACTGTGATTATTTTCTATTATTATAACACATTGGGCTGGGGATGTGGCTCAAGCAGTAGCTCGTTTGCCTGGCATGCCTGCGGCCCGGGTTCGATCCTCAGCACCACATGCAAAACAAAGATGTTGTATCCGCTGAGAACTAAAAAATAAATATTAAAATTCTCTCTCTCTCTTTAAAAAAATAAAATAACACATTGACCAGGTCCTGAGCCCATTATACCTAATTGTTTTGTTTTGTTTTTTAGTACTGGGGGGATTGAACCAGGGGTGCTCTCCCACTGAGCCATATACACAGACTTTTTATTTTTATTTTTAAGACAAGGTCTCACCAAGTTGCTGAGGCTGGCCTCAAAATTGCCATCTTCCTGCCTCAGCCTCCCAAGTTGCTAGATTACAGGTGTGTGCTACTTGACTTTGTTTATTTTTTGAGACTAGTTCTCACCATGTTGTCTGGGGTAGAATTCCTGGGCTCCAGCCAGTCTCCACCTTGGCCTTCTGAATAGCTGGGACTACAGATGCAGATGCATGCTGCTGTGCCTGGCAGATATCCTTAGTGTCTTCTGCCTGTGCCGTTAGTGTTATTTCCTTAGGCTCAAGTTCTTGTGTTTAAGGTTGTTGTTGGGAGGTGATAAGGATCAGTTGTATAGATCATGCACTTTGAAGTTAGCTTGGTGGATTGTACTTCCTCATCTGTACAATGGAGATGGTAACAGGTGATTTCCAGGTTTATAAACCTTTTTTTTAGTTTTCCTTTTTTGCCATACCAGGGATTGAATCCAGGGCCTTGTGCATGCTAGTAGAACATTGCAGGTTCTGCTGAGTGGGTCTTGCTGACAGTGCAGATCCTCCTGCCTGCAGCTGTCATTCTCTGCCCCCCTTGTTTGGGGCTGGTTTCCGTGCCCAGCTCAGCCTCAAGGGCGTGACTCCTCAGATCAGCAATAGCATCTGTCCACTCAGCAAGAGCCCAGGGAAACGACTTCCAGCCATTCTCTTGCTTTGATGGACTGTCGTGGTTCCCATTCTTCTCTCTCAGACACCTTTGCGCTGAAAGCCGGGTAGCCTTAGACTTGCTTCCTCTGGCTTGTGTCTTCAGCTGCTGCAGCCTCCCACGGCCTCACTGAGCCACCAGCAAAATGGTCTTTCTTTGCTTGGCTGACAAACGAGCCACAGGGAAACATCACTGGCTCGAAGCCTCGTCCCCTCTCTTCACCTGTGTGAACGTGCTCTGCTGCAATGAGATCTTCTACTCAAATTTCTGAGTTTCCCTACCTTTGCTTTCCTGTGCTGGGCACATCCCTGTGATGACTGCTGTCTGGTGACGTGGACACTGCTGTCATCACACCCAAACACACTGCTTTGCCCTCTGAGTTTTATTCACTTTGCTGTTGGCAAAGTGATGGAACCCAGGGGTGCTCTACCACTGAGCCACCTTCAATTTTCATTTTTAATGTGTGTGAAGAAATCCTGTTGAGTATTGAGAGTAGTTCTAATGATGATTTCCTATCTGGTAATACTAACAGCTGTAGTGTCATGCATAGTCACAGTTTTTCTTTCTGTTTTTTAATTTTTATTTTTTGTAGACGGATAGCAAGCCTTTGTTTTATTATTTTTGTATGTGGTGCTAAGGATTGAACCTAGTGCCTCACACATACTAGGCAAGTGCTCTGCCACTGAGCCCCAGCCCCAGCCCAAGTCACAGTTTTACTTGTCAGTGCCGGGAATTGAACCCAGGCCTTTGCCCATGCCAGGAAAGCACTCTACCATTGAGCCACATCCCCCCCCATCCTTTTATTTTATTTTGGGACAGGGTCATGGTAAGTTGCTCAGGTGACCTTGCAGTTGACAATCCTCCTGTTCAGCCTTCTGAGCTTCCTGGGTGACAAGTATGTGCCACTGCAATCAGCTCACCTTTCTTATTTTGATAAGATGGGTATGCACTGGTAATAAGCAAAACTGATATTATGTGGTGGCAGTGTGGCATTCCTTGAAGCACTCATTGGTAACTGCACCATCTGTGTGCCATGGGCCAAGCAGCATGGTGAAGTGCTGTGGAAACAGTGATGGACACTGGCCAGTGAGTGCCACTGGGCACCAGTAGGGCTCTGTTCACACCTGGGGTTCCGGGAGGATAGAGTCTGTCTCCCCAGGCAGCAGCTGCACTGGCAAAATCTGCCTGATGTAACTGTTTTGGAACTTCCAGGTGAAGCCTTGGTTGTTGACTGATGGTGATTAACTTTGGTAAGCCAAAATTTTCTCTTGTCTGCTTGAGCTCCTAGCAGCTCCCCAGCCCCCAGCCCTGATGCCGGCATCTACCACCTGTAGGGGCCAGGTTGAGCAGGAGGGCTCTGTCCTCCAGTGTTGTGATTGCTGCCTCTCAGGTTGGAGGTGCAGGCACATGCAGGCAGCCATCGTCAGCCTGCCCTACAGGCCACCCCCTTCAGCTGAAGAACTCCCAGGGGGTTTGGAGAGCCAGCAATTGTGTATCCCTTCATTTTTTCTCTTTGTCAATTTTTGTAAGCAAACTTTAAAGTCTTGGACCTTCAAAACCAACCACACATGGGGGAGTTGAGGAGGTTACAACATATGTTCAGAGTAGGGCAGAGACTTAAGCACCTCAGGCTAGTGGACTCTTGGCACAACTGTTTACCCCAACAAAGAAGAGATCAGTAAACCCTCAGAGAGGGGAGAGTCTGATTTCTAATAATATGTTATTATTAGATGCAAATACCAGATTTCAGTAAGAAATCAGAAAAGGTTAGAAAGAAATAGGAAGGGATGGCCCCTTCAAAGGAAATACCAGGGGCTGGGGATGTGGCTCAAGTGGTAGCGCTCTTGCCTGGCGTGCATGTGGCCTGGGTTCCATCCTCAGCACCACATACAAACAAAGATGTTGTGTCCGCCAATAACTAAAAAATAAATATTAAAATTCTCTCTCTCTTTCTCTCTCTCTCTCTCTCTGTCTTTAAAAAAAAAAAAGGAAATACCAACAGAAATTGTTCTTGAGAGAGACCAGCTTGTGGGCTTGACAGAAAAAGATTTTAACCACTTGACTTAACAGATGCCTGGACAACTAAGAGAAGATGTGGACAAGTCAAGAAAATGCAGGGCCAGGTCTGGTGGCCACACCTGCAATTCCAGGTATCCAGGAGGCTGAGGCAGGAAGATTGCAAGTTCAAGGCCAACCTGGGCCACTTATCAAGGCCCTGCCTCTAAACAAAAAATAGAAAGGGCTGGGGGCATAGCTCAGTGGTAGAGTGCCCCTGGGTTCCATATACACAAACAAAATGGAAATGTCAATAGACCAAACAAACAACAAAACAAACAACAACAACAAACACCACAAAATCACCATAAACAAAAACAAACAAAAATAAAAATTCTGGAGCTTAAAGTTTGATAACTGAAATGAAAATTTGCTAGAGTGACACAAAAGTAGATTTGAGCAGAGGAGAAAATCTGTGAAGTTATGCCAGTGGAAATTACTGAGTCTGAGGAACACGAAAGGATTGAAAAGTGAACAGAGAGCTCAAGGGACCTCTGTTACACTAAGTGGACCAACATGCATTCTGGGAGTCCTGGAGGGGGTGAGAGGGGTGGCAAGAATATATGAAGAGAATGAAGCTGGGCATGGTGGCACACAGAGACCCAGGTGGTGGAGGCAGCTCAGTGAGACTCTGTCTCAAAATAAATAAAAGAGCTTGGGATGTGGCTCTCTGGTAAAGCACCCTCAGCACACTGCTCCCCCCCCCAACAAAAAATGACCCACCTTTGACAAAGGATGAATAAAAACATCCAAGGGGCTCAGTGAACTTGTGGATAGAACTCAGAGACCCATGGCAACACAAATAAGACCAAATATAATCAAGCTTTCACCAGGGAGAATCTTTTTTTTTTTTTTGGTACTGGGAGTTGAACCCATAGCCTTGTGCACTGAGCCACATCCCCAGCCCTTTTTGTTTTGAGACAGAATCTCACAGTTGTTGGCCTCAGATGTTTAATCCTCCTGCCTTAGCCTCTGGAGGAACTGGTATTATAGGTGTGTGCCACCACACCTAGCTGAAACCATCTTGAAATCAGCAGAAGTGGCTTGTATCATATGAGGGATCCTCAATACCATTTTCAGCAGACTTCTTATCAGAAATTTTGGAGGCTCAGACTGGTAAATTTGAGTTGCTTAGTCCCTTGCTGTTGTGGAGGCTGGCTTTGAACTTGATTTCCTCCTGCCTCAGCCTCTGGAGCTGCTGGGATTACAGGTGTGTACCACTGCACTTGGCAAGCTAGTTTACCTTTTAACTCCTAATTTCCCGGTGTGGCTCTTAACCCCGTAAGATAGAGAGCTGACTTGTTTGTCTTATTTTCCTTATTTCCAAGGGGGTCCTGTTTCTCATGGGGGTCCCCAACTGTGTCAGTTTGCTTGCATAAAGTAGAAGGGTAGTTGCTGCTCTCTATTGGGTAGGGTGAGGGGAGAGGTGGGTGTGGCTTTGTTTAGTGGTGTGGAGCTTCCTTTGTGCACAGATGTCGAGGCCTCTGGTGGGGACAGCGTGAGTGTGAATGCTGAAAAGTGGCCAAGATGCCAAATTTTATGTTGTGTGTATTTTAAAATACAGTAAGCACATTTATTAAAAAAAAAAAAAAACAAACAAAACCTCTAGCCAGGTGTGGTGGTGCACACCTGTAACCTAACTACTTGGGAGACTGAGGTAGGAGGATCACAAGTTCAGGGCCAGCCTGGGAAACCACAAGACCTTGTCTCAAAAGCAACAAAACAAACACCAAAAGGCTCCACAACTCCGTGGACACTGAATCTTGAATTTCATCTGATTTTTATGTGTTAATGCAGTTCATAAAGAATTCCAACCATTTACAAGTGTATGAAGCAGAATGGGGGTGTAGCTCAGTAGAAGGCCCTGGGTTCAGTCCCACTACTGAAAAAAGAAGCATTAATCTTTCTAAATTCACAGGTTTAAAAAAATCATAGGCTGGACTTGACTGGTGTGGTTTGCTGACCCTGTTCTACCTCCTGTAGTCCAATCAGCATGCGACCCTGGCAACATGCCTCTCCCTCATTTGGTGACTTGTTTCCATGGTGACTCCGGCCAGGTGCTCCTCTTCATAACTGTGGCTTCCTTGTCTGTCTGTGGATGTTGTTTTCTGGGTACCTTCATGTGCTGTGGAAGAGGGTGGGTGATCAGGGGTGTGCTATTCGTGCATTTTCTAGGGGAAGAAGTACTGACCTCACGCCTGTATCCACTGGTGAAGATGTACTTTTGTGCTGTCTTGCACACTCTCTCCCTCTCTTTCTCTCTCTCTCTCCCCCTCCCTCTCCCTCTCCATCATCTCTCTCTCTCTCCCTCTCTCTTTCCCTCTCTCCTTCCTGTGGACACTGTCTGAGCTACTCTCTTCTGCCACACCCATCCATCATGATGTCCTGCCTTGCCTCAGACCCAGAGCTGTGGAGTTGGCCTACCTGTTGTGGACTGAACCTCTGAAATCAAGAGAGTTCATACATAAAGGGAAAAAAAGAGAAACTCAGGAGAAAATGGCAGTTGTTAGTTGTGGGAGCAAATGTAAACTCTACTGTAGCATCACCAGAAAACTAAAGGAGTTAGCTTTGGAATCCCCCGGGGAATGTGAGCACACCTCCAAGACCAGAGTCTGCCTCCTGGAAAGCACTGTGGTGATTCACCGGCTCTGAGTCTCCGCTCCCCATCTTCACACTTCACTGTGCGTGGTAGCCTATACCTTGCAGTGGGATAAGTAGAGGAGCTTGACCTCTGGGAGAATGACACATCTCCTTTATATTATAGAATTATTGCAAGTGACCATGTTCATTTATATAATCAACTAATCTCAGATCAACCAACTTTGAAACAGGCTGTTGGCTCCTGACCTCTTTTCTTAGAACATTTTAGAAAAATTCTAAATATAAATTCTAATTATAAATTTCCAGCCCCTTCCAGATGTAAAACTCTCTTAAAAGCTTTTTGACAGTTTTCTAATCCAGGAATGTCTTTCTCAAGGATCTGGGAGCCATTGCGGAAGTGTAATTGTCAAGGAAGACAGTACCTCATCCCCCAGTCTCTATGTCAGGACAGGAGCTTGACTTCAGAAGTGCCCGTGCTCCAGGTGTAAAGATGGGAGAACACACTTTCTTTTGGTAAGGCCAATTAGCAAACCTGGTGGCCTCAACCTCCTCCCGCTTAGTTCTCAAAAATTCCCCAGCACTTTGTTTTTGTGAAGTGGGGCTTATTAGACGGAGTTCTGGGCCTGTCTCCTATTGCAATAGTCTTGAACAAAGTCTCTTTTGTGTTTAAAAAAAATGTATTTTTGTGGAATCTACTATATATTTGTATCATATAAGCAAGGCATTAGCAGGATAATGATGCTCCCAAAAATCTAAAAAAAACCAGAAGTAGATAAATATGATATATCTCTGGTCAGTCGTTGCTAAGCTGTTTCATGACTTGAGCCTTTGGTTCTATCTCTTCAGAGAGCTGCTGCACAGTACACACACAGCACACATGTGTGCATGAACACTCTCATACACATGTACACACTTAAATATGATCTTATGTGGCACAACAAAGAACATATAGTCAATATGTACATGAAAAGATGTTTCTCTTAACTAATTATCAAGGAAGTACAAAATTTAAAAAAACATTGAAATATCTTTGCCTATCAGACCAGCACAGATTAAAAAGACTGATAATGTTTGCTGTAAACAAGGGTTATGAGTGTTCTCACAGTGCTGGTGTGAGTGGAAGTTGGTGCCCTGTTTTTGTAGGGCCACTTGGGGTATCTATGAGTGTTTCTAAATGTCAACCTTGAGGCCCCCTGATTCCACTGTTAGCAAACATTTTTATGGAAGTACTCCTTCTGTTGATTAGAGATCCATGCCTAGAATTGTGCATCACCTTCATGTAAAATACTGTATGTAATGGTACAAAAGTCCATTTAAGGAACTATTAAACCATGACATATACTGCCATTCAATGCATGAGGAAGATTTGCCTGTGACAACCTAGAAAGAGGTTGCAAATAGCCAGAAGTACAAGGAAGCCACTTGCCAATAGCACAGTCTGAGTCTGTTAAGAATATGTGCTTATTTGAATGAGCTTAAAAGGTGTCTGGAAGAATTTGGGCTAAATTGCTGGCAAGGGCCACCTCTGGGCAGGCTAAGTAGGAATCTCCCATTTCAGTTAGTCCCTCTGTGGGGTTTGTTTTCTTTGACTGAGTTTGCTTTACCTTTATGTTTCGCACCCACCCTGCCCCTGCTGCTCACAGCTGGTCTTCTTGGTGGAAGAACTGCACCTCTGGTTCTGGAACAACCTGGGAGGGGTGAGGGCCCTACTCTGCTGTCAGGGTCCTTGCTTCCTCTGCTAGTTCGGTGCAACTTGACAGTGGTGCTCTGGTTCTCGAGAGAAGCACAGGGGACTCCCATCTGCCAGTCAGGAGACAGATCACTAACACCCAGGTTTGGCAACTCAGTGTCACAGGGCCTGTGGTAAGCAGTGACAGGCGTCTCTCAGCTCCATGAGGGTTACTCTGCTTTGTGCCGTGGTTTAAGATGTGGGTGGCCTGTGTCAGCCTGTCATGAGGCCACGTCACTGCCGCTGTGGTTATCTCCTGGATCAGGTGAGGGGCTTTGCTGCACATCAAGGACTGTCATAGCAGGTTGCCTCTGGGCTGGTGATGCTGAGACTCAATGGCACTGGGCAGATGCATCTGGGAAGGTGAGTCTGTATTCTGGGTTCCCCAACCTCTGACCGTAGCATGAACTTCAGGAAACAGAGAGAGACAAGTGGTCCTCTATCCCTGGGCCCAGGGAACCACCGTGGCATTTGGGAGCTTCTTCCCAATTTTTCGTCCTCTGGTGCTCTGGCCTTAGCATATCTGAGACTGTAGAATTTGCAGTGCTGACCATAGAATCATACACTGCAATTTCCAGGCCTTCAGGGGGCATGGGTACCATTGTGGTCTGTGTAGTCATGCTCCAGCTGGACAGGGTAAGGGTGCTTCTGATTATGGAAGAAACTTCTTCTGTGACTGAGTTGACCTTTGTGGGCATGAGAGCAAATGGTATTGTCATGGCCATGAGGTGTAAGTGAGGCCCTGGGGCAGGTAAAGCCCCTCCGAGCTCCCAGGCCTCTGGGGGCTTCAGGGCAGAGGGGGAGCTGGGAGGCAGCAGGTGCAGGTGGGATTCCAGGAGGGTCAGCTCAGCTAGGCAGGCAGAATGGAAGAGGGTGCTTTCCTGAGGAAGCAATGCCCTCTGCATCCCCTGGGGCTCTGGGCTAGCTGTTCTCATGAGGGGCTTGAGGAAATGGGCCTGTTGTTCTGGGCTCCCCTCTGGCCTTGTGAGGTCAGTGGAAACCCTCCTGGTGTGAGTTCAAATTCCGTTCCATTGTTCCCTTCATGGATGACCAGGGTGGCCTCTGTAGTAAGGTGGGGGAGCATTTGTGAAGAAGATAGCAGAAGTCTGCAGGTCACCCTGGAGCCCGGTCCCTACTGGGACTCCACAGAGCAGTAAGCTTCACCTGCAGGGGGACTGCTGGACTGGTGAGGGGGAGTGCTGGAAGAGGGTTACCCCCCACTGAGGCAGCAGGAGTAGTGGGCATAGTTCCCCAGGCCCTGAGGAGAACCTCATCAGCTCCTGCACTGTGCCCTGGCACACTCTGTCTGGGGAGATAGATTGGGGGCTGGAGGTGAGCTGCGGAGAGCACTGAGATGGGGAAGAAGCCAGGCCCAGGGCATAGAGTGAAGGGGGCCAGGCGGTAGGCTTGTGTTCACCCTTGCAGGCTCTCTGACCCCTCCCCTCCACCCCCGTGCTCCTTGGGCACTGTCATTGCCCTTTCCCCCCAATCCTGGGTCTGTGCCCTTATCCACCCAGCATCTCTGGTCCAGCCCTCTTCTCTCCTGAACTTCAGCTTGGTGTGCCCTCAGACCCCTGACCCCCATGCATCCTCCCTGACAGAAAATGTGTGGCAAGATGCTTCTAGGAACCCCTCCCTGATTCCTGACCTTCTCTGCGTCTCCCTGTACCTCCTTCCTCCAGTACTGGGTGTTGAACCTAGGAGTGTTTTACCACTGAGCTACATCCCCAGTCTTTTAAATTTATTGCTTTGAGACAGGTCTTTCTAAGCTGCTGAAGCTGGCCTCAAATTCACAATCCTCCCGCTTCAAACTTGAGTCACTGATATTACAAGTGTGAGCCGTTATGTCTGGCCCCTCTTGTCTGTTATCTTTGTCCTCAAGCAGCTGGCCTGCCCACACTGTCCCTTCTGCTCCCTATGTATACCCAGACCCATCAGGATCACCAACCTGTGCTCAACAGCTTTGGGAGTTCCCCTGTGCCTGAGAAGGCCATATCCTGTGTGACCCAAAGAGGGAGTTCTCTCCTGCTCCCATTTTCAGCCCTATTTCCTGGCACAGCCTCCATGCACCCCAGGGTGCAGCTGCTTCTGGCAGCTAGAATCTGCATTTCTCTCTTCACCTCCAGCAGAGAGAAGACAGTGCTGGACAAGGGTTTATTTAAATAGCAACCTCCATCCATCTGCCTCCACATCCTCTAGCTTTAGATGTGGGCAAGAGAAACAGGATCTCATGTCTTCCCCCATTAAGATGAAAACCAGGGCTGGGGTGTGGCTCAGTGTAGAGCACTCTCCTGGCCCTGGGTTCATTCCCAGAACCACACGTACACATGTACACACACACACAAAATATATAATAGGTTTTGTGTGACAGTAAGTGAATACAGTGACTGGTCCCTAGTGGAGCCAATTTGGAGCATGTCCTACAAGGCACTAAGGAGTCCAAAGCCTCCTGGACATAAAGCCTCCTGGACATCCCCCATGATGGTGGCTTGCTCTGGCATGGGAGGAATAGTGGGGCCTGAGGGCCAATATGGATACCATATATGCAGGGCCTATATGGATACCCTCCCCTGGGGCTGGCAGACCCCATGGTCAAAGTCAGGGTTCCAGCAACAGGGCATCCCACAAATTCATGTATCCCAGAAATCCAGGATAGGTAGGCCATCTGGGCCAGATGTGGACCCGTGGGCTTCGTGTTGTGTTTGCAGACCTGATGGGGAAGGCCATACTAGTCCCTGGTGTCAGCCAGGGTGTCAGGAAGCACCTCTGTCTGGTGATGCAGACTCTGGCTTCCCCTCTTGTTCTCATGCCATCCTGTGACCTTCTGTGTGAGACTTCCCTGGAGCCAGCCTGGCACCTCTTCGAGGACCAAGGGGTACTATGCTGACTGGCTGGCCCAGGGTTTGCCTCCCTCTGTAATATCTCATCCCATGTCTGCAGTGACTTAAAGGGAGATCTGTGATGCCCTGAGGCTTCACCCCCTTTGTGTGGTTCTCAGTGGGTATGTACTGATGGACTCACACATTGCCCTCAGGCAGCTTCAGGCTGTGTGGGAGCTAGGAGGACCCTTACTAAGAACAGAGCTGCCATGTGCTACATGTGGGGCAAGTCCCTGGTCTCTCTGGGCCTCAGTTTCCCCAGGTTGCTGCTGGTGGCACCTAGCTCTCTGTCACTCCTCTTGTTTGCATCCTGCCCACTATTCTTCCCACCTGGTCTATAGAGGGGGACTGTGGAGCTGAGAGATACCTGATGGCTTGCTTTCCAGCCACCTGCTCCTGGGCCAACCTGTGGCTGGGCTGGGTGGGTGCCTCTCCTGGAACAGAGTCTCCACAGGGGTCTGGGCCAGCTCTTAGCAGGAAGTGGCTGCTGTGATGAGCTTTTACCAGGCCTTGGTGCCTTCCCACCCTGAATGGACTGACAGTGCCAGGAAGTATCACAGGAGGGGACAGACCCTGCCTGCCATGCTAGGCAAGTGCTCTACCACTGATCTACATCCCCAGCTTCCAGACATTACCACGGAGAACTTGCCTTTCATGCTGCTGCTGGTAGTGCCAGGCTGCATACTCCTTTCCAGGGAAGATTGGGTCTTATCAGTGGTTTGTCCTCGGGGTGCTAAGGTGGGTAGGTGCCTGCTGAGGGATGAGGGCTTCTGGGGGGTAAGCACGCTCTGATCTGTGTGCATGTCTGCTTCCTTTTTCTTCCTTATCACTAATCGGGCTTGTGTAACCCAGCTGGCCCTGCTTCCTGCTTAGGGGCTATCAGCGAGCCATCTGTAGCTGCAAATGGGGTGATAGGGCGTCAGCAGCTTCCCCACAGCCAGGAGCTTCCTGATCCCTCTGTCTGTAGTCAATCTCTGGCTCCCCCAGGGATCCTCAGCAAAGGGGCTTGTCCTTCTTGGGGTGTAGGACGCCTGGGAATAGAGAGATGATGGGCATTTTGGCAAGTGCCATCTGTTGCATGGACACCTACTGCCATCCTCAACCATGTTACTGAGGCAGAGCTACATCAGGTCTTCATTTAAGGCATCAAAAGGCAGTGCGGCTAGCTACGCATGATTGAAAGCTAATGTGTGCCCCTGGGTCAAGGCCCTTCCCCTCCTTGGCATCTGCTTTCGTGTTATGAACCCAACAGCCTTTCTCATGATTGTCAAAACCAAAGTACAAAGTGCAGTTTCCACAGCTGGCATAGCATGTGACACCCAGGAGCTCCATGGGCCTGACAGTTTTCCCCAATCCTGACTGCCCTTCAGTGTGGGCCTGGGCCTGGCTAGGGGGAAGGACAGGCAGAGGATGGTGGTCTCAGAGAGGGCCTTGTAGGCATACATGGAGATGCTGCTCTCAGACTCCAGGAAGCTGTGTCTTGCACATGGAAGCCACAGTCCTTGGTTGGGTCAAGTGACCCTTCTGAGCTGCGGATTCTTACCAGTGAAGATTGGACAGGGATGCCTGGTTTCTTTCATTGGAAATGGTGATGGTGAAGGTGATATCCCATTCAGAGCCTCTGCTAAGTGGAATCTCAGGGAACTTCCCACCCAGAGAGGCATAGGCCTCTCAGTCTAGTCCCTTGCAGGTTGGACCTTGGAGAGTGAGGCCCTGATTCGAGATCTGGGCACATGGCTCCTATTCTGTACCTGTGCCTGCTGGGGAGTTTCTGTCCCTGAGGAGGGAGGAGGTGAGTATTGGGCACTTGTGTCTGTGTGGGGCAGCTGGATGGAGAGCTAGGGGCTGGAAGTGGGGGCATCCCTGGGAGAAGAATGGACCCAGATTGCTAGGACCTGTCCTCCGGGGTCCCATTGACCCTAGGCTTCCTGTGCCCTCGTCTTGGTCCTGACTTCCCTATGTACATGGACTGAGCCCATTACCCCCAGGCCCCCCAGACCTGCCTTTGGTCATTCTCTGGAGACTGCCTTGTTAGGGTTCAGCTGTCAGGCCCTCTCTTGCCCCTGCCTCAGCTCTGCCCAGAAGCACCTGGTACAGGCTCCAATGGTCTCATCCCCAGGGACATGGGCTGGAACCTTCACCTGCCTCACCAACAACATCCTCAGGATCGATTGCCACTGGTCTGCCCCTGACCTGGGTCCTGGCTCTGGCTCCTGGCTCCTCTTCACTAGGTGAGGGGAAGGGTGGTGGGAGTGCAGCCCCCTGGAAGCAGCTTGCCCTGGTGCTGATGTATGGCCTTTCCAGCAACCAGGCACCTGGCAGCAAGCACAAGTGCATCTTCCAGGGCAGTGCCTGCACCCTGGAGCTGCCCCCTGAGGAGGTGCTCTTGCCCTCTGACAACTTCACCATCACTCTCCACCGCTGTGTCTCTGGGAAGGAGCAGGTCAGCCTGGTGGACCCACAGTACCTGCCCCGGAGACATGGTGAGCAGGGGTGCCTTCCCAGGGCCAGCCTACTGCTTGGTGGGTGGGGGCAGGGACCTCAGCCTGTGACCCCTGTGGTCTTGAGTCCTTGCCAAGGGAGACCTGGGGTTGGAAGCAGGTGACCCTGGGAGGGGATGGCCATGTGCTACTTACTGCAGGGCCAGGGTTTGGGCAGAGGATGAAGCTGCAGGGCCAGCTGGGGTGGGGGCTGAGTTGGGTTCACATCACTAGAAATGCACTCCAGTCAGAGCAGGAAGGAGTCCAGCAGCAGAGTGTGAAGGAAAGGGGAGCAGCATTGGGAAACCTCCTTGCTACAGGGGCTAGGATAGTTGTTCTGTCCCTGTCTTCCAGTGACTTCCCTGGTCTGAAGGGGCCTTCACCATGCATCACGGGAATCTTAGTGCCCTAGATCTTGGCATGCTGAAGACCTCACATATCCATTCTGTTTCAGTTAAGCTGGACCCTCCCTCTGACCTGCACAGCAACATCAGCTCTGGCTCCTGTGTCCTCACCTGGACCATCAGCCCTGCCCTGGAGCCAATGACCACACTTCTCAGCTATGAGCTGGCCCTCAAGAGGCAGGAAGAGGCCTGGGAGGTAATGCTTTGGCTTGCTCCCCTGGGTCTTTTCTTCCCCAGAGCGGCTGCCATGAATGGTGAGGAGGAAAGGGAGCCAGAGTCAGGTGTGTGTGTATGCGCATCCTCCCCATGCACACAAGTATGCCAGTGTATGTGTGTATGTGTACACACAGTAGGGCGTGAGCATGCCTGTGCGTGGATGTGTTTGTGTGTTTGTATGTGATTTGTACATGAGTGTGCCTGTGCTTTGTGTCTACATGTGTGAGTGTGTATTGGGGTGTCTGAGTGTGTGAGTGTGAAATGTGCCTGTAGATGTGTGTGTGCCTGCATTTTGTGAACAGGGGTGTGTCTGTGTATGAGTGTGCACATGTGTGTGTGTGAGTGGTCTGCTGTGTGCACTCTCCAGCTAGACCCAGCCCCACACCTGGTACCTGCTCACTCTCCCTGGCTCTGCAGCAGGCCCGGCACAAGGACCGCATTGTGGGGGTGACCTGGCTCATCCTTGAAGCCATCGAGTTGGATCCTGGATCTACCTATGAGGCTAGGTTGCGTGTGCGGATGGCCGTGCTGGAGGACGATGTGATTGAAGAGGAGCGTCATGAGGGCCAGTGGAGTGAGTGGAGCCAATCTGTGTGCTTCCCCTCGCCCCAGCGAGGAGGTGGGTCCACATGGCGGCTGCTCATCCACAGCTTGGCCTCCACTCTTCTGACCATCCCACCCCTTTACTTTTCACCCCAAGGCCCCTTCCCCTGCAGTCTGAGATATGCAAAGGGAAACACACCCTGGGCTCCTAGGAGCCTGCATCTAGTGGCTACCATTGGGAGTGAGTGTGACCTGGAACTCTATGCCAGATGGGGCTCAGTCTCCTTAGTGAGGGTAAGGCTGACCCTTGTGCATAGTGCTGCTAGGAAGGCTCAATGACCTGACCACCAGCTGTGTGGCAGATGGAGGGGCAGCTGAGAGTGAGACTCACCCCAGGGACTTCAGCAGGCTTTGCACTAACCTCCAAGGCCATCCCAAATTCTTTCCTCTTTGGCCCAGGGAACTGATAGGGGCCCTTTGTCAGGTGGGCTTGGGGGAACCTCTCCTTTCTTGCCCACAGGCCTCCTGGTCCCATCCTGGGGCTGGCTAGACAGCACTTTTGTCGCTGTACCTGTCTTTCTCCTTCTGACTGGCCTGACCTACCTCCTGTTCAAGCTGTCACCCAGGTAGGTGGCTACGCTACTGTGTGTGCGTGAGCCTATACACTTGACTATCAGTGCATGCACACACAATGTCTTATCATGTACACGTGAGCGTGTATATGTGAATGTCTTAGTGTATGCATGTTTAGTGTGTGTGCATGTGTGTGGGCATATCAGTCTGTGCATGTGTAGGTATGTGGTGTCTGGGACATAAGGCCAACCCCCCTGCTCCTTTTCTTCCCTCTCCATTGTCTGGTCCTGAATGGAGTTGGGTTTTCAAGTGTCCATACTGGGCCATTGTTGGTGTATCCCCAAGTTGACAGGGGAGAGAAGGGAAGGGGGTGCTGTGGTAAACCTGAACATGTGATATGCTTGGTCCCCACCAACTGTGGAGAGACCCAGAGTTCCTGGGACTCAGGAACCTGAGGTCCTTGTCTCCTGGCACTGGGGATGTTGCTTGGTTTGCTCATCCATTCACATGTTGTATTGAAGTGCTATTTTGGGCAACTGGGGTGCACAGGACCCTGTTCTCATCCCTGACAGACACCTCAGAGAGCAAGATAAGCCCCCACACCTTATGTACCACATGCCAGGTTTCGCGGTCACAGGAGCCCTATCTGGGACTGAGGAGGAGATTGTCCAGCTGCAGACAAATGATGGAGAGAACAAGAGGGTTGGACACAGGGCAGGAGGGTATGGGGAGGGTGCCAGCTTCTCCTTAGAACACTGGAAGAGAGCAGCATGTGATGCCACACCATTTGGTTCAGGTGGTTAGAATGGACCACTGATGTACAGGTGATTTGACTTGAGCGAGGGTGAGGAGACAGAACACCTCAGAAGGAGTTGCCAGGGTCTTAGGCAGAGAAGATGGGATTTGAGTGGTGATCCCTGAGGTGAACTCCAGAGGCTAGGCCCTGGGAGGTCAGGGAGGTTGAGCTGGACCTGTGGGGTTGGAACCTTGCATGGCCTCCTTTTGAGGGAGTGTGGGTCCTGGGCAGGCAGCTGGGTGATCAGGTGGATTGGGAGCTGGGCTTATCTGCCAGCAGCACACATGTAGTTCCTGGAGCTACTGGCTCTGAGGGCTGAGGGCAGGACTGGCCACTTCCAGGCACTGACTCTGTGGCTGCAGCTCACCTGGAAAAGACATATGCCTTGATATAAATCAGTTCTATGGGGCATTAGCCAGAGAGGTCACAGCCTGCCATTTGTGTTTTGCCCTGAGGGTGGGTTTGTCCATAGGGTGGGTGGGTTGGTTTGTTCTTGAGAATGAATCTTGCTATGTTGCCAAAGCTGATCTTGAACTCTTGGGCTCAAGCAACTCTCCTGCCTCAGCCTCCTGAGTAGCTGGTACTACAGAAGTGAACCATCATGCCCAGTCCTCTGAGGAGCAAGAGGGAGGGAGGGGCAGCAGCCTGGGTGAGGCAGGTTGACATCTTCTGGCTGGACGAGAGCTCCGTCTCTGCAGTGACCTCAGACTTTCTGGAGTGTGGCCTTGGGAGGTGCCTGTACTAGGGTCTCTGCAGGCTCTGACTGTCCCTTCCTGGCCTCAGGGTGAAGAAAACCTTCCACCAGAACGTGCCTTCACCAGCAGTGTTCTTCCAGCCCCTCTACACTGTGCACAACGGGAACTTCCAGGTGTGTGCAGAGGGCACTGCAGAACATGGGAGCAGATATGGCTCCAAGGTTTGACCTGAGCAGGTGTGGGCTTGGATGGGGGCTGGTCTGGTCTTTTTTTTTTTGTATAGTTTGTGGGTCCAAATTGACACACTGTCTCAAATGGTAATAATTTAACTGTATTTTCACTGCTGATTTCTTTTTGTTCCCTGGCCTCCAGTTCCATTCTTTCTTTTTTTTTGTGTGATGATGTTTTAAAAAATACTTCTTTTTTCTTTGTTTTTATGCTATGCTAATGATCAAATCCAGTGCTTTACACATGCTAGGCAAGCACTTTGCCACTGAGCCATAGCCCTAGTTCCAGTTCCATTCTTCTTTGTTTTAAATAGTTTTTAGTTGTAGATGGACACAATACCTTTATCTTTATGTGGTGCTCAAGATCAAACCCAGGGCTTCACACATGCTAGGTGAACGCTGTACCACTGAGTCACCACCCCAGCCCCCAGTTCCATTCTTGATGGGAAAATTAAACTTTCATTTCTCTGCTCTGCTACTGAGGGAAATATTCAGTTCAAGGTGCATATTATGGGCTGTCTGCACCCACCCCATCTCATTCCTTCTTCTCACCTCCTCTTCCCCAAAGGTTTTTGTCCTGTGGCTACGGGGAAGGGTCTTTGGCTTGTACTACTGTCCTGGCCCTAATAGGACCCCTGACTTCTTCTTTGGTGGCCACTGTGAAGTGTCTGGTACCTTATGGGCTCTTGGGTATCTCCCTGGCACCATTGCACATGAGTGCACCCTGTATTTCCCTATTGTGGGCCTGGGAGGGAGAGCTTCAGATCACTTTTGTAGCCCCCTACCTCTGTTGGGGTTGGCAGTTCATGCTTCCTGAGAGGAGGTCGGGAGAGGAAAATCTCCCATGGTGGTCTCTGTCTTTCCCCTCTCAGTGCTGAGTTCTTCCCTAAGGTCCAGGCCAAGCTGACCCTGCTCTTCCCCAGGATCTTGCTCCACCCTGTGGCCAGGGATGTCCCCTTCACATGGTCTCCAGCTTATTATGCAAAAACATCCTTTGTTCTCTCAATAGGGAGACTAGTTTTCTGTTGTCCAAAAGTATAAGTTGTAGCTCAAAACTGGGCACTTGGCTCTGGAGGGAGTTCCACTCTTCCCCAAGCCAGTGGATGTGACTGTCAAGAGCCCAGGCAGCTGTCCTATCAAGAGGACAGGCTGAGCAGGCAGAAGTAGTTGGCCCTTGGGCTATGTCATCCCAGTTATAGGCACTGACCCCTTTTCTGCAGAACCATGGCAGCTGCCAGGCGTTATTCAGACTTCAGGGATGGGGTGCAGGTACAGGTATGGTGCTATAGGTCAGCTCTCCAGGAAGCAGATGGAGGGTGTAATGTGTGGTGCATTTGGTGGAGGCTTTGGTTCCACTGAGGGAACAGATTCATTTTGGAGGTAAGGGCTTCCAGTGGTTCCAGAGAGGGTCCTGACTGCATCTCTTGCCTTGTGTGTAAGTGGGGTTCTTTGGGGTGCCCAGGCTTTGTAGCTGCTGGAAGACCCTGGCAGAGTGCTCTCAGAGGTTAGCTTTGTCCTTAGCACCTGTCATCAACTTTACCCTGGTTCAGGCTGCCGTGAGTGCAGGGCTTAAGGCTGGGGAGTACTGAGGGAGCACACAAGGTCCTGTGCTGATGCCAGGCTGGCACATGGGGAAAGATGGAATGTTCTGGGCACAGGTACTCTTGGCCTATGGTATGGAAGGCAAGAGAGCTTCCTGGAGAAGGAGAAAGGCTGGGCCTGCCCAGGGTAAAGTAGTTGCCCCAAAGTGAGCTCTGAACCTGCTGCTTAAGCCCTTCCCTCCTCCCTGTGCTCTGTTCCAGACCTGGATAGGGACCCATGGAGCCAGCCCACAGCTGACTCAGGACTGTGTCAACACCCTGCAAGGAGCCTCAGAGTCCAGCATCTGGGAGGCCATCACACTGCTCACCTATGGCCTGGCACGCTCCAGGCAATCCTCAAGCCTGGAGGAGCAGGAGGGCACTGGTCCTGGTCTCTCAGAAGCCCTGAGCTCAGTGAGTGTGCAGCCAGCAGGATGTGTGGAGTTGGGGGAACAGTCAGCCTACCTGCCACAGGAGGACTGGGCCTTTGTGTCCCTCACCAGGCCAGTTCCCCCAGACTCCCAGGGCAGAGGCAGTGACTACTGTGCCTTGGCCTGCTACAGGGGGTGTCAGCCCTCAGCCCTCTCAGGAAACACACAGAGTACGTGGCCCATCCCAGCTTCAGCCTGTGGCCCTTCCTGCAGCCAACAGGGTGCAGAGTCCCAGCAGGGAGACACCTGTGAGGGAGCTGGTCATGGTCAGAGGCACGGACTACAGGAGGAGCTGCCTTCTACTCTGGACATGCCGCAGGCTCAGTCCTGAAAATTCTAGAACTGGACTACGTTGCATCATGTCCATTTTGGCAAAAATGGACTAAAGTCCCTGGAGCTGACCCTTGGCTCAACTGGACCTCCTGGGAAGGGGCACCTGTGTATGGCCAGAGCCTGGATGGAAGCAGGAAGCCCTTCTCAGCCTCTGTGCTCCTGTGGGGAGGGGCCTCACCCTCAGCATCCTGACAGCCAGCCCGTCCCTTCCCTCCCTCCTTCAGGCTTTGTCCCAGTCTTCCCTCAGAAGAGGGTTGTGGACCCAAGCTGTTCTACCCTCACTCCCGTAAAGGGCCAGCTGGGCCCAGTGGACACCGGTGAGACACCATGACCACGTGGAGCATCCTCTTCTATGCCTTCTTGAGACACCTTCCCTGATGAGATTAAAAGGGACATCTTGGCTATTTCAAATTGCAAGGGGGGGCAGCTGGAGGAGGTGGGAGGGGTGGTTTGTCCAGCCCTATGCTTTCTGGGCTTCAGGACTTTGGGGATAATGTTTTTAACACATGAAATCTGGAAGGCAAACATTCTGACCGTGGTGCCATGCTTTCAGATCAAGGCATGGGATGGCAGGCTCCATTTCAGCTTAAATGCCCAAAATTATGTTGTGGAATAATCAGAACAGTGAATTTTAGAGGTTCTGCATCAGGACTAGCCTGTGGCACAGACTGAACAAGCTAACAGAATCCAAGCTCAGGAGGCAGTTGATGCCTGTGAAAAGAGATAAACAGAAGTTGCTTGGGGAAATGAAGGTATGGTACGAGGTCTTCCAAGCTGATCAGAGGTGGGTCCAGGAGCTGCCTCTAGGTTCTACCTGGTAGGTATGGTCCTATGGGGCTCCTGGGGTTGCCTCCAGGTCTGGCTGTCCTTCCCCAGGAGGCTTCTGTGGGCAAAGATGCAGACTTGGGTTTGTCCCTGCATTCTCCTGAGTTTATCCTCTGCATCTACAGGTGTCTCCATATAGAACCCTCTTTGCCTCACTGTGAGGCACAAAGACAAAGGGAGTGCAGGTGGCTCAGGTGTGGGCCAGAGCAGAGGCCTGGGGGAACTCAGAGTCCCCAGGCCTCCATGACATGAATGCTGTGCAGTTCTGTTATTGACCCACCTATTGAGGTACATCCTAATTCTTTAAAGTTCTTGACCATTGTGAACACGACTGCTGTGTGCCACTGCATGCTGTATTTAGACATAGGTTTTCAAGGCAGTTGTCTGAATTCTTAGTATCATGAGTGTTGAGTCCTATGGTGAGAAACTGCCAAACTGTTTCATAGTGGCCAACTTCTGTGCCCTCCCCCAGAATGCATGAGCCCCTGTTGTTCACATCCTCCACAGTGGAGACTGCATGGCAGTGCCCTCTTGCTGTTTTTGTCATTTTCTCTCATGGCAAGTGGAGCTCAGCATCATTTTCCATGCTTTGCCATCTGCATGACATCATCATCTCCTCCTCCTCCTCCTCCTCCACCTTCTTCTTTTAATATTTTTAACTGTAGATGAACATGGTATTTTTTTTTTTTTTTTTTTTTTTTAGTGCAGTGCTGAGAATTGAACTCAGTTCCTCCCACATGCTAGGCAAGTGTTCTACCACTGAGCCACAACCCCAGCCCTGCATATCTTCTTTGGTGAGATCTCTATTCCAATCTGTATCTCTTTGTAATTGGAGGGTTTATTTTCTTATTGTTGCGTTTTTTTTTTTTTTTTTTTTGGCACTGGGGGTTAAACCCAGTATCAGGGGAACTTGACTACTGAGCTGAATCCCTAGCCTTTTTAATTAAAAAAAAAAATTTTTTTTGTAGTTATACATGGGTAACATGCCTTTATTTTTTATTTTATTTTTATGTGGTGCTGAGGATTGAACCCAGTGCCTCACACATGTGAGGCAAGCACTCTGCCACTGAGCTATAGCCCCAGCCCATTTTTTTTAGAATTTTGAGACAGGGTCTTGCTAAGTAGCCCATACTAGCCAATTCAGCCTCCCAAGTTGCTGGAATTACAGGTGTGCACACTGAGCCCGGCATGTTTGAGTTTTGATACACCAACTTTTCTACCTTTTCCAAGTACTTTGACACTGAGATAAAGGAGTCAGGTGAACCATACGAGCATGTGTTTGGGCTCTCTGTCCATCTCCACTGGAGTCTATCTCTTCCTTCACCAGTGTCACATTCTCTTCATGGCGTCAGCTTTTTGACTGGTTCTGGCATCCAGATGTGGAGTTTGTCAAGCTTGTCCCCTTGCAGTCAGCGTCACCTATTCTGGGTTCAGAAGCAGTTTTCTGGGAATTTGGTATTGCACTGAATCTACAGATCAAGCTTGGGAGACTTTCATCTGAGCTATATTGAGTCAGCCAAGTCTGAACGAAGAATATATGTGCACTGAAGGATTTCTGAAAGAATAATTGTACTTTAAATGAGCTGTTAATTTTTTTTTCACTTGTTTTCTTTCTGTTGGTCACCTTGCATCATTTCTGTCACTGCACTTCAAATTTGCTAACTCTTTCTTTTTCTTTTATCAGTTTGGTATCTGGAATATTCCCCAAAGGCTTGTGCATTGCAGGTATGGTCCCCAGCTGGAGGCGCTGTAGGAGGTGGTGGGAACTGTTGGAGGTACAGCCAGGTGGGAGGAAAGAGATCACTGGGGGCGTGTCCTTGAGGGGATGTTTTTTCCACAGACACTTCCTCTCTCCTTCTCTACTTCTTGATGCTGTGAGGAGAGTGACTTTGCTCAATCACATGCTCCCACACGATGTTCTGCCTCACCACAGGCCAAGAGCCAGGAACTAGGAGGGAAGCCTCTGAAACTGAGTCAGTCTGAAGCCAGATTTAAAGATAGGTAGTTGGTGTAGTTAGGTAAATCAGGACTAATATTGAGTCCAATAAAGAAAATGGAGACCATATAAAAAATGGAGTCCATAAAGAAAATGGAGTTCGATCTGAGTGGGAGGGAACCAGAACAACACCTGGGGAATTTAAATGTTAAAGTCCCCAAGGCCCCCTCCCCGCCTCCCCCTCCCTCCTCCCTCCTCCCTCCCTCCCAGTCCTAAAGAACTGTTAATGAAGAAGCTCCCAGCAATCAAACCACCCTAGGTCCTCCCCCAAGATCACTCCTCCCTGCCTAATAGTCCACCTGTTTCTCACCTTTTGGCCTTCCCACCAGCATCCCCCTTCACATGTAGGATAGAGGGAAATAAAGGACAGGAATGTGGGAGGACAAAAGTAGACCTTAGATTTAAAAGAGGAAAGACCTCTCTTTCCACGGTTTCTGTCTTTTGGTCCCTTTCTTTCTCCCGGTGGTGGGGGGGGAGTTAAGTCTTTTCTGCTGTCCTTTAATAAAGCCTTCCACCTCAGCGTGCTTCTCTGGTGTTGAGAAACTGATGTGACTCCATTTTTAAAAATAAATAAATAACAGCAGCTTCTACCTCAAGGCCTGTCCTAAGGAAGGGGGCATGACCCTTGTCCTTGGAAAAATCCACAGAGCACTCCTAAGCACATACCCACCCTGCTGAGTTGTTTGTCTGTAAATAACAGGAGAGATCTGCAGTGCCAGGTGTCCCTGACTCAGGCTAGGTGAGGACCCATAGCAACCCCCCTAGCAACTTCCAATCAACATGAGACGGGGAAAATACCTGGAATGCCAGATGACCCCCCAGTAGTTTATGGTGGTTGATAACATGTTGGGAAACCATGTACACCCCTCCTGGCCTAAACCAATCAGTTCAAAGGAATCCCCCTCTTGTACTAACCAATCACCCCTACCCACCTTGTTCCCACCATTGAATGTGCTAATCAATGTTAAGAGTTGTTGTTTGACTTTCCTGAGGTATGGGATGATTTGCTGTGTGATGTAGTGATGCATAGAGTATCCCCCTAAAACCTATAAAATCTCACTGAACAAAGGACCAGGACTCACTCCCTGGGACCACTGTGTCAGGAACGGTTGTGAGTCCAGGCTAGAGCTTGTAATAAAGATTCTTGTGTGATTGTGAAGCCAGATTTCAAATTAGGTAGTCAGTGTAGTTAGGTAAATCGGGTCTAATATCGAGTGAAATCTAAAATGGAGGCCATGCTGACAATGATTCTGGGAAACGCAGGACAACTCATGGAATGTTAATGAAGTCCCAGAAAGGCCCTAGGCCAAAGTCCACCCCAAAGAAATGTTTATGGAACCCAGGAACAGCCCCCAACAGATTTGGAGATAGCCCATCCCAGAGAAGTGATAAGCCCATCCCAAAAAGTGATAATTAAGTCTTTCCTGCCCGTTTGGCCCACCTGTGTCCTAACCCTTCCCCCTAGCATTCCATCACCAAACCTATAAAAAGGGGAGACAACTGCACTTCCACGGATTCCACCTCTTGGGTCCCCTTCTTCCTCCGGGAGAAGTCTTTTCTGCTGTCCTTTAATAAACTTCTAATTTCTACTCTGACCTTGCCTCGGCGTGTGCTTTTCTGGTGTTATTCTTCAACATCGGGGAAGCAAGGACTCTCACCGGCCAACAGAGGTAACAATTGCATCGGATTCAGCTCCTGGAGGTCTATTGGGGTCCCACGAATCTGGCATAACAGTGTTATACTTCAGCATTTGGGGAAGCAACGACTCATCTCACAGCACCTATTATATTAGTTAGAGATGGTATTATATGAATATTACATTAAGATTAAGGGACACAGCATCTATTATTAGCTTGAGATATGGTAGCTGTCAGGTCCATGATGGTGACTTAGGAACAAATCACCAAGGAACCCTCGCATTGGAAAGAAACACCAATCACGCACTGATGGAACCGCCTTTCAATCAGCAGGGTCTCCTGGCCAATCCTGGGTCTTTGCCAGCTCCCTCCCACCCCAACTCCAATAGGACCGGGGACTCTGAAAGTCCCTTTTTCCTGCCCTAAGCCCAATAAAAATTCCAGTCCAGTCCAGCCCCAGCAGGCTTCTCCTTAGACTCACTCTGTTGGTCTGAGGGTTCCACCCGGGAGCAAAATCTCAAAAAAGCCTTGTTCAGCAGCCTTTTAAAATCTTTAGGTTGAGGCTGGCCTTACACATTTATTTAATTTATATGTGGTGCTGAGGATCAAACCCAGGGCCTCACACGTGTTAGACAAGCGCTCTACTGCTGAGCCCACAACCCCAGCCCACTCCGTTTTTTTTATTAGACTTGATATTAGACCTAAATTACCTAACTATGCTAACTACCTATTGATAAACCCAGCAATTCCCTCTTAAGTTTGGGAGCCATCTTGCCACATCGGCATAACAAGTTAATTTCGGCTTTACTATAAATTATTGCAATTTCTAAACTTGCTTGGAATGCCTGCCTGTTCCTTGAACTTACCCATGCCTGGCTTTCCCTGACCAGATAGCAACCCTCTCTGAAACTTTAGTGGCGCCTCATAAATCCTGGCTTTCCTTGGCCAGATAACAACCCTCTCTGAAACTCTAGTAGCGCCTCATAAATTCTGACATTGGGATCTAAATTTACTCCCTAAATGCTGGACCATTAATTTACTATCTGCCTTTGTGTTATGCTTTTCAAAATTCTGTTATCTGTAAGTTCTCAAGACACCCCCCCTTTTTGCAACTTTCTGTGCTATAAAGCTGCCCTCCTAGAGAGCTGCGGGGCTGTCTTCTATTCCCACCGGTTTCGGGAGAGACAGCCCAGGCGGGTCAGAATTACAAGCTTGTTTTATTTTATTTAAATTGGAGTTGGTGGTCTTTTCTTTGCATCAACACCTATCTTTAAGTCTGGCTTCAGTGACAGCTGACCAAACCAATCTCCAGCTAAAATGGTGGCATTTATGTCTCCTACTCCAATGGACCAAGTAGATGATTTTGTATCAACAGAGTCTGCACTGGGGCGGGACTTCAAGGAATGTCAGCACAATTTTTTAATATTTGCACTTCATTAAGTGTGGAGTCTCAGTTTGATCTGAAAGCACATGCATGTATAGCACTGGGAAGAGACTTGGAGGTTGCTCTGACTTGGTGATGAGCTTGCTGTGGCTGGTGAAGCACAGTAGGGACAACTGCTCTGGAAGCTGCTGATATAGCACATGTATGTGTAGCACTGGGAAGGGACTTGGAGGACACTGTGACTTGGTGAGGAGCCTGCTGTGGCTGGTAAAGCACGTACAGACAGAGGCCCTGGTTTGCCCAGGACTGCTGCAGCAAATTGGGATTCTGTTCATCACCAAGCTTGTTATATGAGGCAGGGCCAGCCTTTGATCCCTACAGTTGTTGTCATGAAATGACATCTTTCCTTGCCTGGTGCAAGACTACAGGAATAAAGGCAGAAGCCTGTGCCTCCTGTGGGCCTGCAGAATCATGTACTGGAAGGATGCTCCAAGACCTGTAGAAGGTCAGCTCTTTCCAAGGCCGACAAGACCTTCAGGGGGATTGAGGTGACCCCAGTTACGTCCAGGGCCCAAGAGACCTGAAAAGGTAATGAGGTGACACCAGCTGTGACCTGCAGATGTTACCTTCTCTGTTCAGGTCTGAGCTAACCAGGAGAGCTCCTTGACAAAGGATTTGAGCTCCTGAGTGCTTTTTGTTGTTGTTGTTGTGCTGGGGATTGAATCCAGGGCCTTGTACCTGCGAGGCAAGCACTCTACCGAATGAGCTATATCTCCAGCCCCCTGAGTGCTGTCTTTCCATGGGATTTCAGAGTGTTTTCATCCATAGGAGTGTAGTTTTTCACCTGGGAAAGAATGGGGTTTGCAGCTTTGGTGGCCCTCCCAGTAGGGAGGTACAGTCAAAACACTGGACTATATTACCCAGAATCCCTAGGGGTGCCTGAGTGACTGTACAGCCTGAAGCTCACACAGACCTCTGCCCTGGTGCTGCATTGTAGAATATAGGACTGTCCTATCCAGAATCCTGGGTGTATGAGGATGAATGTGCTACTTGTAGCCCCTAGGCTTCTGGGGTTGTAACTGAAAGCTCAGTCCTTGTCCCCATGACAGTCCAAAAATGAGGACATGGTTTTGAGAAAAAGAAAAAAAGAAGATTTATTGCTTTGCTGGCAAAGGAGAAACACAGGGGACTCCTGTCCCAAAAGCTGTGATTCTCCCTATCAGGAGGGACAGGAGAGTTTTAAAGGAACTT